ATGGCATATTGAACAATACAGGTCAGTTTTCACTACTGAATCACATGTGCAGCGCTTAGATAATTTGTGAATCACATGGATGCTCGTTCGTCACCTGCTCACTCTCATCCAACATCACCACTCCAAGTCTCTCCAAATCAGTGAAGGAACCAGGTATCAAAGGTAAGTAATGTGTTTTTTTTCATTTTATTGCTCAATATGATGAATTCACTGCAGTAAGCAACCAAGGCAGCAGTCAGTACGACTGACCGCCGCCTCTGATTAACCTCACCACACACAGCTCTTCTCGGCTCTCCCCACCCCCAAATCACCTCATGGACCATCTCGGACCTCAAAGTACGATTTCACGCCACTGAACGACCGCATACTGCCCCCTCCCTGTCTCCACATTGCGAGCATGCCGGCGCTCTGCCCCTCTCTTCTCTCAGATTCATGGCCTCTCCCACCCCTACTCGTCCCATCGAACGAAACAGCAGCCGTCACGCCTCTCTATTCGCCATCACCATTCCCCCTCCCCTGCTCCGGGCTCCATCACAGCGAGGCAGGAGACGCTGGGTGGGCATAAACACAGGCCCAAGTAGCCGTTGTTTGTGTGCACCATCTGCTGCTAGGTCCTCGTCCCCACCGTCCTCGCCAACACCTCAACCACCACCAAATTCGGACACGAACAACCGTATTTCCGCCTTCTCCCCCCTTTTCATTCCAATGCTAATGCCTCAGCCACCGCCCACAGCTCCCCTAACCTGTGTATTTAGACACGCACAACCGCGCCCCTACCCTCTCTCCCCTTTCCAGTCCAACACCTCAGATCTGTGGCTGACTGTTTCTGTAAGCCATGCGTGAACGCAAGTAGGCGTGCCATGTCACTCTGCCCACCATTCTTTCTGGTTACCTCGCTAATCAAGTATGTTACATCAATTCAATATTAAAACATATAAATTTCCTCTTCCTGTTCCTACTATCCCTTCCCTAACATTCAGTACTACAAAGCTTGCAATTTAATATCTGTGTTTTCAGGCTCCTCCATTATTCTTTTCAGATTCTTTTGTAAGATTTTCAATGCTAGACAGCAATTTGGCATTGAAAAATAAAATAAAAGTACATTCAAACTAATATATAGCTTCAGATATTGCGTTGAACGAAGGAGCAAAAGAAGAGGAGCATTGGAGCATCATTTGCCGGGCATCAGCATCCCAAATTGGAAGGTCATGTGATTATTTTAAACTCCGTTCAGTAGTGATCAGTAGTGAAGCACAGGTATGAGTAGCGACCCCAACGACACCCCACCTTTGAGGAGACTGTTTGGCTGTGCTTGGCAAGAGCTTCGAAAACAGCCCACGTTTGTAAACTTTGGTAAACATCATCGTCCACACGAGGATGCATTCGCGTTCGTCCATTCCCTCGGTGTCACTCCGGCCATCTCCAACGTCGAAGTGACGAATATTTAAATACAATGGTCCTCTCGGTTGTCACGCACCTCGTGAGCATCCAAGTTTCAGACAAATTTTCGGATTGACTTAACAGTGGATAACACTACCCTTGCACTACCCTGTCCAAGCAATTCGCCTGATCACAACCACGAGGACCGGCACCAGCAAGTCCTTCAGCTTAAGCATGAAGCTTGAGCCTGATCTCCAACTTGATGCAAGACGTAGAAGCTTACCTTCTGTTCCAGTTATGTAAAACTCAGGCCCATTCAAAAATTTTGAACACCTTCCTCCCTGTCAGCCTCTCTGCTAGCACAGCTTCCCCGGCGTTGTATATTCCACAAGTTTTTCTCCCGCATTCACCACCCATCCAATGTTGGCTCAGCTCAAGCCCAAAAAATACACCGTTCGGTATCCAAAATGGATGGTTGGAAAACGTCTACTCTATGCTTCCTCCGCACTTGCGTCTCTGGGGGACGCACTCTTTGGATATAGTCAGGGGGCCATCGCATCCGCTCAAGTTCAGCCATCATTCATCAGTCGGATGTACCACGTGAACCTATCCTTGGCGGAAATCGATGCTGGGAAGATTGGCGTTTCACCATTGACACAATGTACATCATCTCTTCCGTTTCCGTTTCCTGATCCTTCTCACTCTTGTCACTTCATCTAGCCATCGTCGTGGCCTGCCTCAACGTCACCGCCCTTCTGGCCTCCATCTGCGCAGCGTACATCTGTGATATCCTGGGCCGCCGAATGTCTGTTCGAATAGGTGCTATGATCTACTTCCTCGCCGCATTCATTCAGGTCTTCATGCCCAATCTCGCCACCCTCATTATCGGACGGTGCATTCAAGGCATTGGCGTTGGCATGCTCTCCATGACCGTCCCAATTCTCCAATGCGAGATCGCTCCAGGCCACGCTCGGGGGATGTTCGTCTCTATTGAGTATCTATGCCTCAACTCTGGGTACGCTCTGTCTGCGTGGGTCGGATACGCGTTCTTCTTTGCTATGCCCTCTGAGATCTCCTGGCGTGGACCCTACATCGTTCAAGCTGTTCTATCTGCGATATTGGTAATCTGGACGTTCTACCTTCCGGAAACACCCCGCTGGTTGATCAAGAACGGGTTCAAAAAGGAGGGTTTGGGCGCTCTTGCTGACTTGCACGGAACAGGTGACGTGGAGGATGAATCTATCGTCCAATCCTTCATAGCGATAGAAGCCGCCATTCAACTTGAACAAAGTATGGGGGACTCGTCTTGGAGACAACTTTTCTCGCAATACACTCGCCGGTCCATCGTAGGAATTACATGCCAACTTTTCGCTCAAATCAACGGCATCAATGCGATCTTATACTTCCTACCCGAAAATCTTGCTAGAGCTGGCTTCAGTATCGCAAGGTCGCTATTATACTCAGGCGCTTGTGCTCTTATTTACTGCGCGGGTACAATACCCACAATGTTCTTCATCGATAAATGGGGGCGGCGAAGGTTTTTGATCTGGGGGAGTTTCGGGCTTGCGGCGGCGCTTGCGATAGTCGGCGCTCTGCAGTTTCACGCGGACACGTTGCCGTTGGGGATTGCGAGATTGGGTTCAGCAGATGGCATCTTTACTGGTACGTTGCGAATTTAGTATCTCTGATCGGTCTGTAAAATTCAGCCATTGTCAGGTGTATGTCTCTACCTTTTCATTTTCGGCGCAACGTACGTTTTTTATTTTACCTTGTGATGATTAGCGCTGACTTCACTCTTTTACAGATGGGGCCCGACACCATGGCTTCTTGGCGCCGAGATATTCCCGCTGCGTGCGCGAGCTAAAGGAATGGCGCTATCGACCAGCACTAACTGGGTCTCAAACTTCATCGTCGCGTTCATCACCCCACCTCTGTTCTCTGCACTACACGGGGGCTATTACTTTCTCCTTCTGGGTTCATGTTTGATCTCAGGCGTCGTAGTCTGGCTATTATATCCAGAGACGGCGGGGAGAACGCTCGAAGAGCTTGGAGAGGTGTTTGGCGATGGGGTTGTGACAGTGGCGGTTGACGAGGAGGTTGGTCATATGAAGCTTACACAGGGCCTGGGAACGGTCGCAGAGCCGCTTGAAGTAGCTGCAGTTAACGCTCAAACGGTTTCTTCCGAGGTCACACTCAACGCATCAGTGGTTGAAGGGAAAAAATCAACGGAGGGCTAGAGTAAGTTATATTTGTGAGATAGTCTTTCTAATCCATTCTATTCGTACTACATCTCGATAAACTCCACTTACCATTCCCCATGCCCCGTACCCTGAACCCTATTGTTGGGCACCCTGGGGACTCGCCACCCTTATGTACGCCCTAGGGACTCCTCGGGCCTGAGCTGGCAATCAAGAATCACGGTCGCCTAAGTACATTATTAGTACGTTACCCGTCGTACTGACTGGCAGGGACGAGGAGATTGAGTTCACCGAGGGAAAGCGATCGATACCGCGGGTCGCTTGCCATAATTCAGGAAGGTCCTGAGACCGCGTATCTGCAAGCTTTCCGCCGTTCCGTCCGCATCAATGGCTTGCCGCCGGTGCTGCGGATTCCAGTGAGTGACTCGCAAGTCGAGAGTCGTAGATACTGGTGGGTTATCCAGGAATATCCGCCCCGAGTATCGCTTAATATGGGCCCAATCAAGAATGACTTAGTGCAGTTTATTATCACAAAAGCACCGTGACGAGAATCTGTACTAGATTGCCAGATTGTGAAATGATGTCGAATAGATATGAAGCAGATGATGATATGCAAAATGAACCTATGACGCCGTCCTTCGGAAATGAAACCAGGAACGATCATTCCTCGGGTTACATCTGAAAATCGTTTCTGACCGAGTCCGCCTGAATAATAAGCTCTGTTCAAGACCATGTGAGTTAACCTCCTACCAAGCGAGGAAGTCACTAACCAGTATAGAACTTAATTCCGTCGACATGGGCGTCGATTTCTGAGAATGGCATGAGACAAAGTAATTTTAAAATTTAGAACGCATACTGATCATCTCGTCGACGGTGTGGATGTTGATCCTTTTAGACCGTTAGCCAGAACAGATATCGATGAAATCATACCTACTTATCTTGGGAGCGAACGGGACTCCATCGATAGATATTTGGTGACCTGATCGTTAGTTAATGATCAGGTGCAGGAACTAGGTCGAAGGGACTCACAAATTCCACTTTGGAGAGGGCGGCATTCAATCAGCAAGTATAATTCGAAGCGAGGAGAGGCTCACATAGAATCGAGTATCTGGTCAACAAAATATTAGATAAAAAGAATCCGGAAAGACCAAAAAATAAAAGTTCACCTGTATTACCCGTCATCGCACTGGGTGAAACAATAATTTCTGGGCCAAACGAGGCCTGAACAGCTTTGGAAAAAATCACCCAGGCATGGGCGTCCAATATAAAAGGAGCGATGGGGCTTGCCTCATGCTCGGAGTTGTATGTCAGGCTGATATTTCCAATAGAAGGCTTACCCCCGCAATGAACGTTGTACCGGTTTGGAGACGGGGATTCGCTATTGAGCAGAAGACAATATTTTTCGGCGATGGGTTTGACGAGGAAGTGGAATATTTTCTTGACATCGTCGACTGCATGGTACGTCAGAAGGGGGACGAAAAACGAAAAAACCGGTATACTTGAGCTGAAGATGTCAACGCGCGAGTTGAAATTGACTTTGGCACTTTCGGCAAGAGCATTTGTCTATTTATTTCAGCGCTGTTGATCAGTGGCTTGAAATAGAGACATACTTTGACCCCAGCGTTGAAAATAGTCGCTGCTTTAGAAGTTTGAATGAGATATTGATTTTCAACAGAGGTCTGCGCAAATTTCCTTGCGGCATCTTTATAATCTGGTCTCTTGGAGAAAGCCGCGTTCCTAATCCACTTCGGAACATACGCTTTGTCGCCATGTTCAGCTAGACAAGATATGAAACCCCAGATTGGGCTTTCCTTCCTCAGCGTAGGCTGGAATATGGTTGAATCTCTGCTCGTCTTAGCTTCTCGATGAAATGAGAACGTAGAAACTAGCGGACTCAATAGCCGAGACGATTTTGGATAAAATCCCGATGGTTGTATAGACCGTCGGTCTCGAAGAACTGGATGCGATTAGGATATGATTGGAGGACCAAATTTTGTAACTCACTGGCCTCCAAGCATATCTACCTCAACCTCTGCGTTCTGCGAATAAGATCAGTGAAAAAAAAGAAAGCGCTCCAAACAGAAGAAATTACCATATATCCCTTCTCAGCAATTCCAGGCAATGCAAACTCTTGATTGTACAGCTTCTCCAAGCCCATTCCGCCCTCATCTACAATCATGGCGATTCCATATTTCCCATACACATCCTCAAGGTGCTTGGCGATGTTAGTTGCTCCGAGAGGTCCGCTGACTTCCTCGTCTTGCCCGAAGGCGAGGACTAGAAGAAGTCAGTGGGATCAATCTAAGGCATGAACGGAATTACCGATAGTCCTGTATGGAACCCACCCGCTGTGTATAAGATGCTCCACAGCGGTGAGGATTCCGATCACATTATTCTTGCAGTCCCCGGATCCTCTACCGTAAATCCATTCACCATCAATGACACCATCGAATGGCGGGTAGGTCCACCTATCGAGAGACGTCACACTGAGAAAAAGATAAGCAAAGTTTACATAATTCAGTGTTCTTGATGGACACACCCTGGAACAACATCCAAATGGCCAGTTAACATGAGTGGTTTCAGGCTCGAATTTACACCCCTCCACGTGTACACGAGCGAGAATCCCCCTACGACGGTGAGGTTTGTAGCCGAGTGTCTGGCAGCAGGAATTCAACACGTTTTACGCTGGCAGACCGTTCAACAACCTACGTCAGTGGGAACGTATCTCTAAGATACTTGTGCATATCCACGAACGGTAGCCACCTTTCATCCTCGTCAACAGGTCCCATGTCGTCGAATGTCCTAAAGAAGGATTGAGGGTTTTGATGTGCCACGACAGCCATTATGACGTACATGGTAGGAATTTGAATCGCCCCAGAGAGCCTTTTCGCGCTTTCCAACCGAAATCTTGGCGAAGAGTAAAGGTCGGAAAAGTTCGACGGAGTGGCTGCGGGTAGTGATTGGCGGCAAAGAGTTCCATCCGGATGATTAGGGTTGAAGAGAGGCCCGAAACACGCAACATAGACTTGGTAAAGGACGTAGCCAACCATCCAAACGAACAAGAGCTCGCAAATTGTGCGCTTTGTGGTAATGAAAGCGCTCGAACGCACACGGCCGGAAACTTCTGGTCTTTCCTTATGCATCGTTGGATATGGTCAAGGTCAAGGTCTGAGAAAGCTGTGTCCGGGCCGATTGAGACGGTGATTGCCGAATGACTGTGGCCTTTCCCCCACACCATTTGAAGCGGGAGGGAGTTGATATGAGTAGTCGATGTGCTTTCAGAAACGGGAGGTTCGTTCGAATGCTCCAGAAAACCCAAATCTGCTCTAAATTAATTTGAGCGAATGGGAAGTTGCCGGCGGAGTTTCTGGTTAAGATAAACGCCCATCAAACGCCCAACAAACGCCCATCTACCCGATATCCCACTTCACTAGTCATTGACGATGAACAACTTCCGTCGTACTCTCCTCGCCCAAAGAGAGACATCTTCTTCTTACGGCCATCATGGAGATACTCCTGATGAAAGGAAAATCAACTTCGAACATCGACATCGCAATTCCCTGAATTCAAGTTTTTTTTCTTTTGGGTTTTTCAAGCACTTCCGACTCGACTCGAGATTATAGTTGTATGTTGCCTGCTGTCTGGGGGAAGAACTGAATTTTGAACCATTCCGTTCTCATTGGGTCGTCTTCTACGCTGATGGAATTGAGTGTTGCCGAGGCAAAGACGTTGAATGTGGATCCGATTGTCGTCCAACGATGGAGCTGCCTCACAGGGTCAAATACTGAACGTAAGTCCCTTCACTCATCTAATGAATAATCCTTGACCATTGTTAGACCAGGGTAGAACTGCCGTTCCTTGGCTTTCCGCCGGCGGTATGTCAAACTCAATTCTCGACCTCCCGCCCGTTACCTAGGTCTCTCAAACCCCTTTCCCCCGCTCATCGAGTGGCGTTGCGCGTCAGATTCTCGTGGAAGAACCCCATGACGCAATGTGTCTGAACGATACACCATCTGACCGACAAGGAGTTTTCAGGGTACGCCGCCGGTAAGTCTTATCAAGGATCACTGTCCCCACTTTCTGGCCTGTGTTATCACCTAGTCACGTTAGCAACACGCGCACTTGTTGATATACTGTACTGTGTGTCAGTGCAAAAGGTCTCGAGGGAGCGACTGTGGGATGACTGCAAGTTGACTGTTGTCTGCAACTGCAGTTATAGCATGGTCGTGGAAGAAACGTCAACATCAAGCGCTTTGGTATTGGAATCATGAGGTAACGTCGCATTCCTTGCTATTCAATCATGCCACCTTTGCGGCGTTAGACTCTTATCCACCAGGTGAAACGCAACAAGCAATCGAGCTTCTCGCATTTGTTCAAGGCCATAATCAGCATGAACAGCAGGTGAGCTCGCCATACTCGATTGGGTCCCAGAGCTTTTCCAACTAAGTCTAGACATATAACTCCGGTCTCGACTCAGCGTCCATCTATCATGTTGCGATACGAACTGATAGGTCACCTGTCGCAGTGCTGAGCTATGAATTATTCACCAAGTCGTCAACGTGCCATTTCTCGCGAACATCGGGAGCGAAGGAAATTTTCATGGGTAAACCATTCAACCGACGGTACGTTTCAAAAAACACCTAGACATTTCACGCAGTCCAGCATTAAACGCTGTTCCAGCCTCTAGGCCCCTGCAGTCCAATTCAAGCAGATGTAAGTCGTATCACCAGATTTACCTGTGTAAGCCACCCGCGAGGCTTCAAAACTGAACACAAAGGATGGCACATGAGAGGAAACTTTTTTGACACGCTCCCGCGAAACATGGAAGCGAGTCTTGTCGGTACCGCAAGTATAAGATTTACGCATCTTTCCGATGTGTGTCGCTCACGTCGATCTAGTATGACCGGACCGCCTCCCCCCTCGCTCAATCTTCTTCACCTCCAACTGAGGCTGAGCCTGCTTACTGATTGCCTCAGAATTTGATGGGTTACTAATATCAGAATTTTGGGCTTGTTACCCCGCTCTCCCATCCCTAATCGTTGTCGGACCCCCATGCATCGCAAGAACCGACGCGTTTTTGCCTCTTCCTACTCTCTTCTCACGCACGTCCAATCATGGGTTCACAAAACTGACATCTTGATCCCAACGGACCACCGGGTCGAACTTGACAAGATGATTCACACAATGCACCGCTTTGTACCGATGCTCCGGTGGTGTAAAATTATGAGCAGCCTTAGCGTTCGCGCCACTGCGTGTTCAAGTCGTTCTGCCTCGTCGTGCTTCAAGTTGTAGGAAGGTATAGCTTCAACAGCAAGTATCCCATTAGCGGTCCGATGTTCTCTAACTCCATCGTTTTTTCAGATTTGTATTCAACCCTTACAACGCTTTGGACACACACTAGTAATTCTTAAAAGCGAAAAAACGACAGATGTCACATTCCCAGACCGCCGCCGTCGCCGCGCCGTAACCAGCGATATTTGATATCACAACACTCCTCAAATGTGCTTATCTCCTCAAGAAGTTCTCACCGCCGGCCTTGTGGATTAATCAAAGTAAACATATCTCGTCTCTTTTCCGTCGCGGATCTTTAGATAATTCAAGAAGGTCCCCCAAAATCCAAAAAGCTGAACACGGGCTCGGGCAGGAGCAAAGCGCTCATGAGATAACGGGTGGAGTGTTCCAAGTTCAAGCATTCGGCTTCGTTATGCCAGCCAGCCAAATAGATACACCATCATGATCACGCTCTACCTACACAACTTCCATCACTCTCTCCACACAACTCCATCATGCTCAACAGATATCCTACCCACACCCCACGGTCAAACGTGCCCTGATAGGCTTGCGAGGAACGACCGGATCAGTTGATTTTCCTGGACGCCCCAACCCCCCTCTATCTTCCGATGGTCCGGACCCTCTTGACGCCATATGAAACTTCGGAAAAGTCACTCCGTGGATGCTTACCTGGACGAATGTCTTCGCGGGAGTGAATCGATGCTCGATTGGTACGTTCTCGCTCGATCAGCCAGCGAGAGCTCACTTTATAAGTAGAGCACCCCACCTGATTAGTACTACGAAGCTTGGTTTATAACCACCGCACAGTGGAGATGTAAGAGATCTTCTCTGCCTGGGAAGAAACGTGGAAAGATAGGCTCGAGTATCTTGATCAATTGATAACTCACCCCCCTTTGTTTCCGGAACGAGATCCGACATAAGGTCTTTCATTTACGTCGATCTGATTCTCGTCCGTCAAGCCTTTCATTCGTGGATCTGACACTGTAGTATTGGTATCACTGGATCCGCAGCGCTTGTTCACGGTCTCGTGAAAGCGAGGGTTCAGATTTGAATTGAAGCAAAGGGGGGGGATCCTCTACAAGCACCCCACGAGTACGAAATCTCACAATCCGATATGTACGACACTTCCCCACGACAGCCTTCGACGTTTGTCAAAGTGGTGTGCGTCGATTTTCAAGCGTTTGGGTTGTTGAAGCAAAGGTGATCGTTTCTCAATTGCGGACAATCGCAAAATCCGATATACGACCGTTCCACATAAAGTCTCAGTGTCGGCCGTTTCTGTGGTTGATCCAAGTGGTGTGCCGTGGATTCGAGCGCTCGTTGGCAGTCAAGGTGGATCCTCTGAACTACCCTCAAGTGCACACAATCTTATCTGATTCCGCATCCACATGAACCTGTCATTGGGGGTTTTCTGAGCGGTCTTATCTCATTGGTTGGATCTTGCTCTCAGGCTGAGCACTTGCCCAACTGCGAAAATGGTCGTTCGACATCCGATATGTTTGACTGTGTTCCACATGATGAAACTGTCGCTCAGTTATGGTTATGAATGATAACTGGTCAAGTGGGTGGATCTGCGTGGGATTCGCATCGACGACATCGGAATTGAAAGCGCTTGTTTGTTCACGGGTCTTGTGAAGCACCACCTAGTTGGAGACAAGTTGGAGAAGGACTGAATCATCCTTTCGAACGCAACATCTCGACATCCGATAATGTATCGCTCTTCCACATGAACCTACCTATTCGTGGATCCGATAACTCGCAGTCATTCGTATGCACACTCAAATGTTCGTTTCGCTGGTTCGTACAAGCGTGAAATCCCAACTCAAGCGCTGGTAACTCGTTCAAGTGATGTGATCCTACGAGGAGGAGAATCTCACCTCATGAATCCGACACCTCTCACCGATTTACTCCGAATACCCATGAGTAGCCAGACCATCGGAGGTTGTCATCCCCGTCACCAGCGCCTCGGACAACCGTTTGAGTTAAAGGAGGAGGGCACGCCGTCGCGTCTTCTCTCTCTCACTTTGGCAAGACAAGGATGTTAAGCTTGAGTTGCACCCCAGCACGCCGTTCACGCCCCTTTGGCCTATTCAATTCAATGTCGGCCCGAGATGGTGTGGGCATGCACGGACACGCCCTCTTCACGTTTTTTTTTTTTTGGCGCCGTGTTGGTGGCGGCTGGCATCAAAAAACGCGTAGTACGCGCGCGCATCAACTTTTCCGCGTTTTCGCTTTCCCATTTGGGTATACGAGCGAGAGGGGGGGGGGCAGGAGGGAAGTAATTACGCAGTATGTGCGACGCGCCCCCGCCACAATTTGGACTGGCGCCTTTTCGTTTTCTCTCTCGCTACCGTGCAGGATACGGAGTGTAAAGTCCTTTCGCTGAACCCTTAGACGAGGGTAGAAAAACCGGAGGGGGAAAAACCCTTGATGGTGGCTCTGTCTTAATAACCGTCGGGATTGGATTATGATTTGGGTCCGTCTGGGTGGACCCTATCCGGGTAGTATGACACGCGAGTTGGCACCTCTACCTAAGTACTTGCCATACACAGCCGTTTTGGACACCGCCAACCACATTTTTGTGATAACTCTCTGGCATTAATATTGTCGCCATTCCATTCGTCTTCATAGTGCAGCTTGGCGCATCATCTAGAACCACACCTACTACTCCTCCCGCACTTTTCCGCAGTTCATTAGTAGTGAGGCACTTTTTATTTATTCACGGTTCCATGTAAAAATGTCGGATCTTCGGGAACCCCTTCTTCGGTAATTACGTGTGTCACCTTAGCGCTGAAGCAGCGTCCGGTGATCCCCCACCAGTAGTCTGTCTTTCTTCGTTTTGCCAAATACATGCGATTTGAAATGTGCGCAACCGGTGAATAAAAATTGGGGTTCTTAAGCCTATGGGTGAGAACTGAGATTGAATTTTTTTTGATTTCTTGAAAGGGTGCAGAAGTCCTATGATGTCGGAACTCCAACTCCGATTGTACATGGTTTTTTTTCTTTGCTGCCTTGCATGCTTGTGCGTGGTGTGGTGTGGTGCTTTGAACGTGAAGGAGGGGGGGGGTCATTACTCCTAAACATTGTCGAGATGACGAGTTTCCAAGTTCCAATTGAATTGTAAGAAGACGAGGTTGCATATCATATAATTTCCCTCACACCATCAACATCGTGACTCTCGGAAGAATCCGTGTAAGGTACATGGCGATCAGGTGAGAAATCGAAGGACCCTGTAGTTGGCTTAGCTTGGGATGTCAGTGGGATTTTAGTGAATCAGATTTCATCTCTTTGCAGCGTGCTTTGGAGACCCGAGCGAAGATCTGTCGCTTGCTTTTTTTACTTGACTCTGTCTCTGAGAGAGGACTGAGCTGAGTCTCCGAGTGGTGAGAGGACATACGTGGGTTAGCTGCAGTTGGGTGTAATTGTTTCGGATTCTTTAACCACGTCAAAAGGCGGGTAGTGTACCCGCCAATAAAACAAATTTATTATATGTGCGTTGATGTTGTGTGTGCGCCACTGGCAGTTGGCTTGCACAAGCGAAAGGTTACCTTGAAGAAACAAAGCAGGCAGCGCGTAATCGCCGATCCTCGTCAGGCTCCTGGCAACACGTATCGTCACCCTACGCCGCGTATTCCGGAGGTGGAAAGAGGGACCAGGTGTTCTGTATTTTAATTGAAGTTTGGACGCGTGAGAGTGACCTCCGTCCTAAAGCGTACTAGCGTAATACCCTGACGAGATCAAAAGAGTTGAAATTTAGATCGAACTTCTCGAATGCCCTGCGCAGAAAATATGATCGGAGTTCCCCATTAGTGTCCGCCGCTCCAAGGGGATGATTAGCCGAGATCTGACGATTCTTTCGTGTTTTTGTCAAATTATATTAGAGAGCGTGACACGATTGGACACGGGGTTGTGCAGATATGTGCCAAAAGCGAAAAAAAGACAGAAAGTGAGCTATAAAGAGGTGATTGCCGGGTGACTGTCACATGTTGTTGCTTATATAATACGGCCAAGACAAAACAAAGGGTCCTTCATAACTGAGCCTATTTTTCCGTCTTCCCTTCCCTAGTTTTACCACCCCCAACAACACAACATCCCTGTAACCATGCCTAGAGCTGAATCCAAACCACAAAGCCCTACTGCTTCGACCCAGTTCTACCATTCCTCTTTTACAAACGGTGCAAACTACCTGCCAGAGTCGTCGCCAGCGTCCCCGACGACGAGCCAGGCTCACTCGCCCTCCCCGAGCATCTCTTCCTCCGCTGCACCACCACCACAGAAAAAGAAACATGTCTGCGGGACGTGTGATCGCGCATTCACGACGAGTGGTCACCTTGCTCGCCACTCCCGCGTGCACACAGGTGAAAGGAACCACAAGTGCCCTTTCCCTGGCTGCGAGACTCGTTGTTCGCGACAAGATAACCTTCAGCAACAGTAAGTCTCTTTGATGTTCCATTTCAGTCAGTCACTCACGCGTGGACAGTTACCGCATCCATCTCTCTCCAGGGTCCAGACGCAGCTCAACGCGCTCTGCCATCTCTCGAGCCATGAACCCAAGCAAACGCGGTACAACCGCCTCTTCTTCAGCAACCGATGCCTCCCAATCGCCCGCTCCAGCTCCACTCTCACCACCTGCCTTGGAGCCAGCGCGCTACGCACCCCACTCACCCCCACCCGACTCCCCTCCTCCCCTTGCACAAGCTACCCTCCCAGCCACGGCGCACATGCACCATGGCCATCACCATCACCAAGACAACTCGGCGCCTTCGTCGCGCTCTTCCAGTTCTCCAGATATCAATTACTCGAATGGGGGGAGCATGAGCCAGTCGATGGTTCCCCAGCTTTCGCAGAGCCAGCAGTATTCGTATAGAAGTGGAACGACGACGTATCAAGAACAATCGCAGGGTGCTGGGGTGGGTGGGTTCACCTACGTGCACACTACCCCCATCTCGCACAGCAGCGGAAACACCCCGCCTTCGTCTGCTACTTCGTCTTTTTCCGGCTCATATTCGAGTTCGCATCATAGCCATCATCACCAGCAGCAGCAGCAGCACCATCACCATGAAGGAGGCTATCGAGATGTTTCGCCAGTGTCTATCTCCTCACGGCACTCCATCTCGCACATCTCCCACCCTCAACAAAGGCACCATCATCATCATTCTGGCCCTCCTTCGCCCGCCTCTTCGCATTCAGTGTCTTCACACACCTCGGGCCCACCCACCCCCACTTCCTACCCGCCCGTCTTCCACGACGAGCACCACCAATCGTATCACGGGCATAACAACACGCATGCTCACCACCAGCAGCAACAGATGGGCCCTGCGACGTATGGGAATGCGCGGTTTGACAGCCCCCCGCCCACGTTGGCTCCCATTCAGGATGAGAGGCTGATTAGGAGGGATGTGGAGAGGGGGTCTCCGCATATTTATCAGCCTCAGCCGATGCCGGAGTATCAGTATCATTCGGGACTTGGACATGGTGCTTGGAAGAACGAGGGAGGGTTGAGGAAGGGTGTTGGTGCGCTTGTTCAATGATTTTCTTTTTGTGGAACTTTCTTTTTGTGGATATAGAATCTCTCGTCTTTCCTCTCTCGTCTCGTTTTGCTTGATACAACTCGTACATACACTTTACAGCTACCTAGTTTCAGTCTCTTTTCTCTCGTCAAAGAATGTAATTATATGACCCATGGAAAATACCATGCTGCATGCGTCTACTACTAGTTATTTGAAAATCGCACCATTTCGCAGAAAATCAGAAATTGCTTCCACAGACGCGTGTCAATGAAAAAAAAAAAAAAAGAAAAGGAGGACAACGTGTGATTGATCGGATGAACTTGCACAGCTCGCCGAATTAGGACAAATGGCGATACATAATATTTATTTGTTTTCGGAAGCACATACATCATCTAATCTCGACGACGACGACAACGACGACGAACTAGCCACCGCCAACTGCCATGAGCGACTTGGACAGGTACTCTCTCTTTCCCTCTCCTTCCCCTCCCTGCCTTCCCTTTCCGGTTCAAAACCAACAGTGAACACCACACAGACAAATCGAACAACTCACGCGGTGCGAACCCATCTCGGAGGAACAAGTCAAGCGGCTTTGTTTGAAAGCTAGGGAGATACTTATAGAAGAGGGGAATGTCCAGGTTGTTGATTCGCCTGTTACAGTGCGTGTTGCAAGACGTCATCATCATCATCATTGGAAGTGACTTTTGCGTGGGTGTGATTAGATATGTGGCGATATACATGGCCAGTTCTTTGATATGATGGAACTCTTCAAAGTCGGTGGGTTCTGCCCGGAGACGAACTATCTATTCATGGGTGCGTCCTATCTTCTTCCCTCCCTCCCTTCCCTCCTTACCTAACCTACCCCTCACGTGTACAGGCGACTTCGTAGACAGAGGCTTCTACTCCGTCGAAACCTTCCTCCTCCTCCTAGCTCTAAAAGTCCGCTACCCAGACCGCATAACCCTCATAAGGGGGAACCACGAATCACGCCAGATTACACAGGTCTACGGGTTCTACGATGAGTGTCAGAGGAAGTATGGGAGCAGTAATGTGTGGAGGTGGTGTTGTGAGGTGTTTGATTACCTTGCGCTTGGTGCGATTGTGGATGGCGCGGTGTTTTGTGTGCATGGCGGGTTGAGTCCGAATTTGCAGGGGATTGATCAGGTGCGTCTTTTTTTTTTTTTTGGCACTGTCACCTCCCTGCCTCTCCTCCTTCTTTTGGTGGCTTCCGCTTGGGATTGCTATCACGTGGATTTCTTCTATCTCTTTCGTTTCAATTTCGATTATTTTTGTTGCTGTCGATGCGCGTGTTCACCCTTCCTGCCTCTTCTCTCCGTCTTTTGGTGGCTTTTGATCAACGTTCCGCTTGGGATTGCTATCACGTTTATTTCTTCTATTCGATTTCGATTATTTTTTGTTGCTGTTCTCTTTTTTTGATGCGCGTGTTCAATCCGCTCGATCAATCGTGAATGAGCTTTTCATACGCACAATTCCGGAGTGGTACTCGCTTTCTTTTCAACCATCCCCTCCGGATTTCCTTCATTTTGATTCATTTCATCTTTGTTCGCCGTTTTTCCATATCAGGCGCCCTTCAGTCTTGTTTCTACGCATGGCCCTCTCTTTGGGGACGCGTGTCTCTCTTTGTCGATGCTTGCCTCCATATTTTGAGGACGCGTGCCTCTTATTCATTATGAGGACGGCTCTTTTTTTCTTCTTACGAGCATACGCCAATCGCGGGCGTTTCATCGCCTTTGGCACTTCATCTTTGGCGATTTTTCAGGTTTTCAAAGATATATAGAACGATCGCGTTTGGCTTTTTACTCGACGCGTGTCCGATGTTTTCGTCCATTGCCTCTGGCCCTTCGATCTTTCGCGGTTCCGCATCTTTCTTTCCTTTTGCAGGGATACGAAACGATCGCGTTGGGCCGTATTTCACGATTCGACGCGTGTTCGACGCCTCGAACGCGTCCGTTTCGTGACTTTCTTTTCATCCTTTCGTGACGCGCGTTGCCTTTTGCTAGGATATGCCAAATGCGCCCGTTTCATCCTTTTGTGCATTATCTTGCCATTGGACGTCTGTCTCTGTCAAATGTCAAACATTTCATGACTTTTGGCAGTTCATTTTTCGCGACCCGTCCTCAGGATATTCGGAGCGGTCGCGTTTCGCAGCTTATCTTTGGCGGACTCGACGTGTGTCTTTTCATCATGATATGTCAAACGCGAGCGTTTCACCCTTTCCTTTCTCCTGCGGCGCGTTGTTCCCTTTCTGAGAATACCGAACATTCGCTTCCGGCCGTTCACTGTTGCGTTGAACGATCGCTTTTGATCCTTCAATCGCTTGCGAATCGGCGCGTGTCTTTTTACGAGGATATGTCGATTCCGAGCGTTTCATCGCACCTCGCCGTTCATTCTGTCGCGACCTGGTTGTGTATCCTGGTTGAGGATACGCCGAAAGATCGTTTTTTACAACTCGACGCGTCTCCTCTATCAGGATATATCAAACGCGCGTGCTCTTTATTGATTCTGGCCGTCCATATCATCCACAACTTCCTTTTCTGGCGGTTGGAGGTCGCCCTCATCGTTGGCGAGGCGCTCATATTCATGGTTTGCGATATCTTGTTGTGCCATCACGCGTGGTCTTCCGGGCCGTCGTTCATTTTGTTCTGCTAATCCGCGTCTTTCCTCTCTCCCTGAATATCCCACGTTTGAGGCGACACAAGTTCTTTCCAAGATTTATTTTTTATTGCGCTAGAGCGAGGCCTTTCCACTCCGCGTGTCCGAATGATATATTTCGCTTGACCGCGGCGTTTCACCAATCGCTTGGCTTCGGTCCTTCATTCCCTTTCCTGCTGTTCTTTTGCCAAATCCAGGCGAATCAGTTTCTGTTGCGCTTTTTTTACGTGTTATCGATTTTCATCCTTTATTGTCTCTTCATCTTCTATATTGAATTGCGAAGATGCCTGTCACGCTCTCGTGCAATACTGCACGTGGAGAATTGGAATTTTGGGGCTTTTTTTCTTTCTTCGCGCCTTGTGTTTTTTATATTTGGCTTTTACGTTTACCTTTCTGGCGGAGGTTATCCCGCCTGACAAGATGCTTAGCGCTGCGTTGTGGATTTTTCGGCTCCTTTTCCCGGCTTTTCTGCCCCATCGACACACGTTTTTCTTGACAATTTGTTCTTCCTCCGGTGTCTTATCTTCTTGGGCCATCATTTTCTTTTTCGTCACAACATCTTGACTGATGCCTCACCGCCTAGATTCGCGCTATTGATAGGAAACAAGAAGTTCCACATGACGGGCCGATGTGTGATCTTTTGTGGTCGGATCCAGACGGTAATTCGAAGATATTCGTTCTTGCTCTCTTCCTCTTCTCAATTGGCTCCAGATATTACAGGATGGGGTCTCTCTCCCCGGGGAGCGGGATTTCTTTTTGGCGCGGACATAACGAAAAAATTTGCACATAATAACGGCATTGATCTTATTGCTCGAGCCCACCAACTTGCGATGGAAGGGTATAAACTCATGTTCGATCAGACGATCGTCACCGTCTGGAGCGCACCCAATTACTGCTATCGGTGCGTTCTCATGTTTGAATCATTCTTCATTGCGCACATCTGCTTTTTGTTTACGTCCTTATTCCAACCCGTACCCGAAGTCGATATTTTTTTTCCATTCTTTTTGCCTCACGGATAGAGGGGAGTCACATGCAGATCCCACATGACACAACATGACACGACGTTACGGTCCGAGGTGGCGACTTGACGTTTTTTTCGTCCTAGCCTTCCCCCCCTAGACCAGGCGCATCAGGCGTGGTGCTGCCACCGTGTGGAGCCGTGTGGTGATCGCATAATTTGAAACCCCAAGCGCGGAGGCTCTTTGTTTTTCGTATTTCACTGCTCGAATTTGGTTCCATCTCTGGCGCGCCGATCTTGGCCCCTGCACGCGCCTCTCCCACCCCTCAATCCCTCTCTCTCTTTGCACCCTGATTTGCCACGTTTGCCCTCGTGCTCATGTTGATCGATATCATCCAGGTGCGGCAACGTCGCGTCCATATTGGAATTAGACGAGCACCTCGCTCAGGAATACAAAGTATTCAGCCACGCGCCCCTTGTATGTCAACTCTCCCGCGTTGTCACGCCTTCGTTGATTGACGCGTAATGCTGTTAGGACGTGAGATCAATACCTGCAAAACGTCCTCCTGCAGATTACTTCTTGTAGATCATCACCCATATTTGTAGTAGCATATGTATTCTGTCTTGTGCCTTTTGTCTACATAGGCTAGGACCCCTGAAAGTACCCTTGGAACCCAGATCCCAATCCGGATAAAAATCCTCAAAAAATTTCGAAAACCCATAGCACTGTCCGGATAGAATTTGGGCCATTTTGGCTGGAACCCGGAGGTGGATTTCCGGATAGAAATTGGACTGACCAACCAAACCCAGAGCCACTTCCGGATAAAAATTGGTGCAGGTGGGGATTAGAACTCAAGACATACCAAATGAGAAGGTCATCAATGGAGACATTAACCACTACACCAACTAGACATAATATTAGGATCCTGGTTTGACCACCTTACATCATCTGCATTCCTCTGCATTCTCAAACAGGGCCACGAAATGGGCATGATTTAGTGTATTTCAGTGTTGTCTTATCTGAGATGCTTGTAGGATGCCTGATAGGGCTCCAGAGGAGACGCCGAGCGAGAAAATGGTGTTTCAAAGCGAAAATTGGCGTTTTAAAGCGAAAAAAGCGAAAATAGCGGTTTTGGGTAACCCAGATCCACGTCCGGATAAATTTTGCCCATACCTGAACCCAGATCCGCCATCCGGATAGAAATTGTCTAAAACTGTCCGGATAAAAATTTGGAAATTTTCGACTTTTTGGATCTGGGTTCGAAGTGTACTTTCAGGGGTCCTCATAGGCTACCAAAATTTCACCGTTTTCACGGGCTTAGAGCGGTCTGTCTGTTTATGGCTATCTGCGGCACAAAGAGACAAGCACAAATGGGGTTAGCCATGATTTTGGACCCTCATTTTACCCCCTTGAAATGACGCTATCACCCTTGCAGCGACGGAGGGGCGGGTTGATTATCGACGTTCACAGGGATGACCACGCGCGGTGACGATTGAAAAGCTTATAATTATCTAGTGCTCCTCCTCCCGCACTTCTTACTCACTCATCCCCCAACGCCTCTGGAAAGCGAGTTAGGGGGTCTTCGTGGAGTAGTGATTGTTTATTGCCTCCTGCGGATGCACGATCTAGCCAAAACGGTATCATATCCCCGGTTCCAACGTCTTGATCCCCGACATGCGCATCGACATTTCCTTACCACGACACGCTAGCCAAGCGCTGTCTGAAGTTTTACCGAAGATGCCCAGCCATGCCGTTCATACATAATTGAGTACCAGTTCAAAGTACTGTATTTGTTGTGGTTCATAAAGAATGGTTGGGATATGGATATCGTTGGACGCTAGTGATACCCGGGGATTTGATAGATTACCTATCAGGGTTCAGCGATTGGACCATCTTCTGTTCCGGAAGAGGTGAACCCTTGCGTGGTTAGATTAAAGATTCGGAGCGACCGGTTGCTCCCGTAATAATTGAACAGATTCCTCCATCAAACTATGTAGGCTTGGGGCCTGGCAAATTTTGAAGTTTGAACGCAACGTACTCTTATGGAATTTTTTCATCACGTCGTGTCGAAAAAAGTATCATTCATGAACCTAATCAATATCTATATTTGTGTTTGTGGCGACAAAGAGAGAAGCGGAACGGTGGGTAAAGGAATCCGACATGAATACAGATACTGTTACACAGTGAATAGTGATGGGTACAACTGTATATGGGGAGGGGAGGGAACGAGAAGATGTGCGGATACATTGAGAAGGATTAATGTACGCAAGTCTATGGTAATGAAAATGCAGTTTCGTTATCATGTCGTCAATGACGTTGGAGTCAACAAACCATCATGGCGGTGGCGTTCAACGGAACGCCCATTCAAGTCCTGCCTTTGGGCGCAGTTTTGCTGAATAGTTTTGCTTTCTCGATTGCAGCGAAACCTACGGGGATAAGTATGTCAGCGTCTTGTCAGATCAAGTAACTTCCAGCCGAGAATTGAATTTAAAATCGAGAAAAAAAAGAAGTAAAGAAATTGTTGAGCATGGGAGAAATGCTGCGGAAAAAAGCGATATTTGTTTCGCATCATAAATCTTGAAGTCGTCCCCAGAGACATCCACACTGACAAGTGCGGTTATTCCGGACACCCATACGGCCCCGAAAGAGGATGGGGTCATCAGAACCAACATCTTGCAGAACCTGACCAGGGTCTTACAAGGGATTGCGTGAAACGAGGGGCAGACCCGCCTACATGTTGAAACAAGACTGTGGGAGGATAGCCGGCGCCCGCGAACCATGCGCCGGAAAATGCCACCCAGGCCTGATATCTGCCAGGGGCAGCAGTTTCGAACGGTAGGCAGCGAAGAAGAAAGTGTGGATCGAAATGTGGAGAAGAGGGAAGGGTAAAATGTAATGACGAGCGAGATGAAACAGGGACAAAAAAGACCTTTCGGAGGCGCGGAAGAGAACGACAACTTACTTTGTTTGACCAAGTTCTTTTTGTAGTCGACAATGCTGATATCATGCTTCGTAAGGTTCTTGATTGTCTTGTCAGCAACCTCCCAAAGCTCTTCTGCAACTTGAGAAATGAGACCTAGAGAGGGGCGAATGCGTCAGCAATGTTCAATAATGCGGAGAAAGGAAGCATAAGAAGGGGAAAAAAAGATATCTTAGTTGGGGCACCAGTGGAAGAAAGGTGGGGTGAATGATGCTCGGGGAAAAGAGAACAACAGAAGGGAAGGCATCCAATTTTGGCTAGAGAAAAGGAAACAAAGGTGGACGGGACACGCAGTCATGATGCAGGAAATAGAGAGGCACAAGCAGCTCAAGAGTGCAAGAAGATCCGGACGTCAAATCATGCTGTGAGAAATGGGGGTAGCAAGCAGTGCAACAAATGAAGATGAAAAAGCGACTCCATCAATGATTACGAATATCTAATCAAAGATAGGGAGGCAAGTGGATGAAGCTGGCACGGAAGAGATAGACGCCAAAAAGTTGTCGGGAGTAAGTAGGGCATGTCGGAACGACACCAGCTGCGTAGAAGCATAGGTGGGATGGAGATAAGATCGCCAATAGCCTTGTGCCCAAACGGTGGCGCATGGCAGTAGGGTATGGGAACGAAGTTAGGCAATAAGAGCTGAAAAGGAAGCGACAAAGATGACGCTTGGAGTGACAGATGGACGTGCGGACGCAGAACGGCAATGGCTAAGAGAACATCCAGAACAAAAGCGATGGGAGACTGGTAGATGCCTAACGGAGAAAAAATTGCCCATGGAGATGGCAAAGAAGACAACGAAAGAAGAAAGAGAAATCGGACACAAAACCCCAACATCAAAGCCAGCGCCAATGCCAACATCCAGGTGGAAGTTGCAGAGGGTGATGAGGAGGGGGAAGATAAGGTCGACGACCACAATATTGACAAGAAAAGCAACAACGACAACACGCGAGGTGGAAAATTAAGGGTCAAGGACGTGTGAAAGAAAAACAGAACGCCAACACCCACGAGGAATGGAAGCCAACACGAAACATGAGGAGAGGATACATACGGAAGTCATGTGACACGATCACGACGCCACCCTCAAACTCCTTGATAGCTTTGGCAAGGGCGTCAATGGACTGCATGTCCAAATGGTTAGTCGGTTCGTCTATTATCAATGTCAGTAGGTGGCAGCAGTCTCGGATCAGACGGCGTACCGAGAAGGAGGATATGTGGGTGTTCCATCGCCAGTTGAGCGAAGACGACGCTAAAAGGGGAAGAGTGAGTTCAGAATGTGTTGCGAGACGGCAGGCGAGGGATAAGAGTGCATAGGGCCGCGAGTGGCGGATGAAGGAAAGAGGGAATGAGAGTGGAAGAAGACAATGGAGATGGAGGACGAAGGTCACGGGGGGAAGGCGGAAGGGAATGACACAAGGGATGTAACATAAGCGTGAAACGAGCGGGGGAGTAGCATGAATGTGCGGGGATGGTAGAGGAACAGACGAAAGGTTCGGGAGTGACGACAAGGAAGCATAACTCCCATGAGAGTACGCAAAAGTGGGTACAAGAAGGAGAGCAAAACGGAGAAAGAGGACAACAAGACACAGTGGCCCAAAGCAAAACACAAGAGAAAAGAACACCCACCGATTCCTCAGCCCATCCGAAAGTTGCTTGATCGGAGCAGTTTGATGCGCCCCCGACAGCCCAAATCGACCCAACTGCGTTCTCCAAGCCTATCCAAACCCACTCAATCAGCCAATGATCACGCCCCCGTAAACAGAAAGCACCCACCATAATATCCTTCTCGGGAAACTTCTGACTAAACAATTGCTGGAAATACTCAATCGGACACAAATCATAGGGCAACTGATCCGCCGAATGTTGCGAGTATTTTGCCAGTTTGAGGGCTGCGTGCTTGGAGATGGTGCCTTCGCAGGGTTGGAGGACGCCTGTGATGAGGTGCAGGAGGGTGGATTTGCCAGTACCGTTGGCGCCGAGAATGGCTATGCGGGAGTCCATACTGTGGGGGAAGAGGTATGTTTAGTTAGGTTTGAGTCCGCCGGAGCAGGGAAGAGAAGTGGGGAAATGGTGGGGGAGTCAAGGAAGGAGGGGTGGCGAGGAAGCGAGGCTCCGATGAAGAGGACAAACAATACCGAAGAAAAATGGTAAAGAAGGGGTAAGTGGGACAAGTTGCGAAGGTCTTTGACAACAAAAGAGGGAAAAGACGGCGGAAAGAAGGGAGTGAAAGAACGTACTCGATACCAAAAGACAGCTTTTCATACAAATAATCCTTCTTCTTTCCCGAATACGAAAAAGCAACGTTATCAAACGCAATAATCGGCGGCGGCAGTTTCCTGATATCCTCAAAGTTGAATCTGAGTGGTTTCCCAGTTTCGATTTTCTCAATGAGACCGGCAGCCTCCATCTTGTCGATGATCTTTTGTTTGGACTTTGCCTGTCGGACGAGGTTGGCGTAGGTACCCGCGGACGCGATGAATCTGCGGCACAGGTCAGCATGAGTAAGAGGGAAGGAAAGAAGGGGAGGGGAGGGGGGGACGTACTTTTTGATATGGGCGATTTCCTCTTGTTGTTTATGATACGCCTTCATTTGATTAACCTCGTTCTCCTGCTTCGTCTTGACGTAGGTCGAGTAATTACCGGTATAGTATACCAACTTCTTCTTCTGCGTCAAGTCCATGATGTTCGTGCACACCGAGTCCATGAAATCCTGCGAGTGGGAGGTGATGACCAGGATATGATTGTACGTTGATAGATAGGCTTCGAGCCAGACTACGGCGCCGAGGTCGAGATGGTTAGTGGGTTCATCGAGGAGCAGGAGATGGGGCTTGATGAAAAGGGCACGAGCGAGAGCGACGCGCATGCGCCATCCACCACTCATGTCTTTTGTAGGTTTCTTCATCATCGTTGGGGTGAACCCGAGACCATGCAGAATGGAGCCGGCTTTAGCTTCGAATGTGGCTGGGTCCATCTCTTCAAGCTCTTCATATGCGAGGTCGAGAGCGGCTTCATCTACAGAGTCCGCGACGGATAGTTCCTCGATGTAGGCTTCAAGGCGGGCGACTTTGGCACGGGCGGAGGCGACGATAAAGTCCACGGCATTAACGTCTGAGGGTTCGGCTTCCCCTCGGACGATGTAGATGTCGATGTGATTTGGGATTTCAATGTCTCGCTCCGCAATAGATTGCAGAAATGTAGACTAGAGATTTTGGGTCAATAAGCGACTTGGATGGAAGAAAAGCAGAACGTACCTTTCCGGAACCATTCTCGCCCAACAGGCCATACCGCTGGCCGTAGTTCAGCGCAATTTCCGCACCTTCAATAAGGAGCCTGCCATGGAATGACAGCGTAAACGCATCGATCTTGATATCGCGCCCCTTCACATCCGACACGAGCACTCCCGCTGCGCTCCTAGATCCCAATCAGCTGGTGCTCACTCATCGCAACGACGACGACGTACCTATCAGTGGCCAAGTTCAACTTGGCCATGCTCGTCAGATCCTCCTGGCTCCCCACTTTGCTGTTGAGTCCGCTTAGACTCGTCAAGGGTGTAATGGTCCCCCCGTTCACTGAGCCTGTCGGCGTCGAGGTCGATGTTGAGGCATCAGTTGCGCCCCCTGCGTTCTTCTTCGCGGCCTTTTCTGCGAGACGTTTTTGCTTTGACGCTGAGGGAGGCATTGTGGTTTGGGAAGGAGCACTGATCGATGCACTAATTACAAAAATTTCGATAAGATCAACGGAGTTTGAACTCACATGGCTGTGCCCCAAACCGGAACGAAGTTGGAACAAAGTTGAAGGAATTTGGATGGGGTCAAAGCGCATTCCTAGAAAGTTCATCGATTACTGAAGGAACAAATCCGGTCCACCTATAGTCCACCTTGAGATGACAGATCCCGTCTGTGTCTCATATGGTCTCTTCAAGAAAACCATATTCGACTTGATCAAAAAGGCCAGTGCTGAGCGCTGATGGCAAGTTGTACAAGAAAATTAGAGTCGAAGATCCAAGTATTCGAAAGCGTTCAGGGGCAGATTTTAGGGATGTACAAAATATATACAGGAGGTCCGGAATGGAAAAAGCGTGGTATTGGTAAACGCTAAACGCCCCTTGCGATATTCTTCAGTCGGAGCCATTCCGAGCTGTTGGCAAAATCGGTGATTGAGTTGTCTCTGCCCACAAATTCTCATAACTAAGATTTCGTTTGTTGGTTTTCAGCGTAAATATTTCGAGGTCGAAGTGACTGAGAATGTTGGGGTTCATTTGATGGAGAGCTTGAACCTGACTCGCGCAGGAGAACCAGCGCTCCAAGAAATGAAGTAGTATTTTTCGCCCCTCCGGATCATACGTATTGACAGAGGCCACCACAAGGTGGGTGGGTATATTATAAGAACGATTTTGAGAATCTCAATTTCCTGTCAATGACAAAAAAAAATTCCCACCACGTTATCCGGCTTTTTGACGGTATGGGTCAACAGCGTGAGGCCTCCAATACTATGAAAGTCGCAGCCGGATTAGCCCTCGTATTCGCAATTCAGAGATCTTTGTGCTCACAACGTTGCGTGGAATACCCATCATCCCTTCGTGCCACTCAGTTAACGCGGGGTCGAGAAAAGCCACTAGCTTCTCTAACCCATTTCCTTTCTTGCGTGACGACTTCATTAACATCCTTGATTTGATCATATCTGCGACCTTCTTTGCCTCTAATTCGGAGTATTGAACGGGAAGTTGCACGATGAGGACTTTGAGGACTGGTACGAGCGAATTTCCACCTCCTTGATCATGCAAAATAGAAAGAAACATCCCGCGTATGGAGTGATAGGAAAGATCGAGCTCGACGGCATGCGGAGCAGCTTCTAAGAGAAGCGTGAGAGGCCAGCTGCCGTTGAGAGAGCCTCCGCAGAGGAGCCACTTGTTCACAAAATCCGCGACAGATCGCGTTTGACCAGTGGTCTCTTTTGTCGTGGTAGTAATCGTCAGTTGCGATCTTCAGGGTCATAAGCGCGGGAAAGTCGAAGATCCTGAGGCCTGAGGATGCTGGGGTTGACTGGATAATTGAGCGCGAGCGTCAGCTCAAGTTTCAACCCGATGATTGAAATCCATAGGTTGAGCGTTTGCAACCCGAAACCGCGAGTGATGTTAAATGTTGGTTAAATGAGCCATGCTGTAGATTGGGACACATCGAAAATATCTGGTGCCACAGGTGCGAATAAAGATGTTTGACGAGAATTAGATGCGTCAATTGACCCCACGGAAGGATAAGCCAATGAGCAGAGTCAACCGGGAATAAGACCTTGTCCAGTCGAATTCGTTCGAGGCAGGGCGCAAAAGGAAATTGAAGGGGGGTTGTCCGCTTGTTGCAAACATCAATGGCGTCCCGTATAATCGCCGACTTCAATTTGGGGAATTGGGTGAATCCAAGGTGAATCAATGTCGAACTCATCTTCGAGACGGACTGGTCTATGAACCAAAGACTAGTACGAAGGGACTGACCAGTCTGCCGCGGTTGGTGGTGTACTGGTACGTCTTATGGACTGGTCAAGGTTTAAATACTAGTCGGTAAGACAGACTAGTAGAGGCGGTCGCATAGCTGAACGGCGTCTGAGCAACATGAAATGTAGGTTCATGCTGAAGAGTTGCCACAAGCTCACCGGACTGAGGCTCTACAGGTTGTGTGCTGTTGTGTGAGCGCTAGCTGGCGTGCATAAAGTATCGTCATGTTTGGCGAAATAGTCTTTCCTATCTCACGGCTTCATGGGAACAATTTATAGGAGTGGACAGACAGTGTCTCGGAAAGCGACGAGTATAGCTTGTATAATTACTTGTTTCCGTATTTTCAGGATTAGAAACAGTCTGATATCAGCCTCGTGTTGTTGCGATAGCTAAAAATAGGTGCATCGTACCTTACTAGTCAGCCCCAGCCAGCATCATAAGTTGTATGATTTGTCCTTCGTCAACAAATGCCTATCATCAGGTAGTACATTGGTAGGTATTGATAACGAAGCACGCAGAGGGTGCGACAAAACCTAGGTACCTAAGGTAGATTACACAACACAGGAGACTCGGTAGTCGGGCCAGCAAACGAACGATCGGAAAAGGGCATTAGCGAGGAAATTTGGGCATAAATTTGAAACAGGAACAATTACGCATTCACTTCGAGGCTTTCAGAGAGAAAGAGAGTATGTCACCCCGTAATTTAACATCGAGCTTTTGGGGGCGCCTTAGGCCTGCCGTCATTCCCCAAGCCTATGACAAACCAGTTCAGTCGACCATCGCAGATAATTACACCACTTCCTGGCAACTGATCGACTCACCGAGTTTTGGGTTACTGGACATCCACAGGCAACTAGCGATTGCATTTAGCGATGCCAAATTGGCCGTGCCCGACAAGCCCAAGGTGTTGGTGAGGAAGGGGCCGATGATCTCGTCTGAAGACAGCGTGTAGAGAACGAGCGTTTCGGGTAGCAGCCCTATCGACTCGAAATCCATGAGGACTGTCTTGCCGTCCTTGTCGATGCCAAAGTTGCTCTTGTCCAAGTCAGACTGCAAGAACATGACTCGGTCGTTTGTGATGTTGACGCTCGCCACCGTGTTCCGGCCGTTGATCGAGAGAATGTTGCGCCCCTGAACCAAGACCGATCAACATGTTCAGCAGCGACAGGAGTGATAAAGAACAAAACAAACAAGCAAACCCCCCCCCCAAAAAAAAAACAGGACTCACATGCTCCAAGTAACGTTCCAAGGCGGCGAGATCAGTGAAATCCAAGGGGGCCTTGCCAGCCTTGAATACAGAGTGGCGTATCCGACCGCCGACGGCGCCCAAGACGTGACCGTGAGGTGGTGCAACCTTGGAAAGCCAGGCGAGAGCGTTGGCCTTCCTGCCAGAATCCGCGTAGCTAACGAGCTCGATGTACTCCATGACGACGTACATAGTCAACTGCTCCTGGAAGTGGAAGAGAACTTTGGCGACGCGTGGCGCTGAGCCTGCCGTGTCGGAGGCGGCGTAGGCTTGGATGTGCATCTGAGTTGCGACCTCAGGCGCCATTGTCTTCGGGTCGCCGAACTTGATGAAGTAGTCGGTGCCTAGCGTTATGCACGCTCGATAGTCCGCTTTCCTCCAGTTTGCGGTTTTATGGTTCGTACATTCTTGGATGATGGCGGGTTGAAGTTGTGCGTTCATGGTGAGAGACCTGGGGATGATGATGAGACAATAAGAAAGGGTGCTGGGAAGGGGTGGCTGGTAGCGACGTACGAGGAGGACAGGCTGAGAAGATAAGGTGGAAAATGGGCTTGGCGAGGACTGGTGGCTTCCAGTGAGCTAGACGCAGTTGAGTCAGTCGAGCAGTGATGACAAAAGGCTAGGATGATGGTACCTATGAAAGAAGGAGAAGCTGAGATTGAGCTGAGACAAGGTTGCGTGGAGAGTACGTATGCGTCGTACGTGGGGGCGCGTGGGGGAAGAGGAAGACGTGGATGAGCAGACGATCGGTTTGGCATGTGGGCTGAGACAAGGAAGTGGGAGACGATTAGGGGAGTTGGAAACGATCTTTTTTTAGTATTTGACCATTCGGTCACATGTCACAGGACACCGACGACCGTCAGTCAATATTATCGGGAGCGCTTCCAAAGCATAGCAGCCAAATAGCAGCGGTGAGTGGTTCAGCATCTTTGTGGGCGTGACTGTGCTCTTTTCTCTCGTGAGGACGTCCTAGGGATGTGGAAGCTGCCACAAAATATGCACACTGCACAGGAGGTCCGGAATGCAAAAATCGTGCTATGAGTAAGCACCTCTTGTGATATCCGTCACTGGTCAGTACGGCCGCGGCAGAGCCATTGCGAGCTGTTGACAAAACCGGTGAGTGAGTTGCAGGAATTCTCAAAATTGCGCTTCAATAAATGAGGTAGTATATTGCGCCCCTCGGGATTACCGCATAGACAAAGGCCACCACAAGGTGGGTATATGATAGGAACGATTTTGAGAATCCAAATTACAAGAAAGAAGATCCCACCACGTTAAATATCCGACTTTTTGACGGTATGGGTCAACAGCGTGAGGCCGAATGGCTCAGACGGGGGGCTTCCAATCCTATAAAAATCGCAGCCGGATTAGCCCTCGTATTCGCAATTCAGAGGTCTTTGTGCCTCACAACGTTGCGTGGAATACCCATCGTCCCTTCGTGCCACTCAGTTATTGCGGGGTCAAGACGTCCAAACCAGGGACCCGTCATATCCCGGAACTCAACAAGCAATCCTCCATCAACCAATGGTTGGAGTTTTGCTCTCAACGTATCCATGCATGCGACTTCGGCGGGGGCACGGAAGTCTAGAAAAGCCACTAGCTTCTCTAACCCAATGCCTTTTTAGCGCGACGACTTCATTAACATTCTTGATTTGATCATATCTGCGATCTCATTTGCCTCTAATTTGGAGGAGCGAACGGGAAGTTGCACGACGAGGACTTTGAGGTTTGGTATGAGCGAGTTTTCACCTCCTTGATCATGTAAAATAGAAAGAGACATCCCGCGTATCATGTGATAGGAAAGATCGAGCTCAACGACATGTGGAGCAGCTTCCAAGAGAAGCGCGAGAGGCCATCTGCCGTTGAGGGAAAGCCTCCGCAGAGGAGCCACTTGTTCGAAAAATTGCCGACAGATCGCGTTTGACCAGTAGTCTCTTTTGTCGTGGTAGTAATCGTCAGTTGCGATCTTCAGGGTCATGAGCACAGGAAAGTCGAAGATCCTGAGGATGCTGGGGTCGACTGGATAATTCAATGCGAGCATCAGCTCAACCAGATGATTGAAAGCCACACGTTGAGTGTTTGCAACCATAATACCCCGGGTGATGTTAAATGAGCCATGCCGTAAATTGGGACACATCGAGAATATCTGGTGCCACAAGTGCGAATAAAGAGGTTTGACGAGGATGAGATGCGTCAATTGACCCCACGGAAGGATAAGCCAATGAGCAGAGTCAACCGGAAACAAGACCTTGTCCAGTCGAATCCGTTCGAGGCAGGGCGCAAAAGGAAAAAGGGGGGTTGTCCGCTCATTACAGACATCAATGGCATCCCGTATAATCGCCGACTTCAATTTAGGGAATTGAAGGGTCGACCATGGTTTATCGTCCGAACTGGCACCCACGCCGCCATACATGTCAAAGTACGGCTGAATTAGCCAGTTGAAATTGGGTGAATCAATGTCAAGATGGCGTAATCGATGGGACTGTGAAGTAATGAAGGTCTTCAACATGTCGCCCGTTTGGTTATGACGGGGGCGATCGTCATATTTGAATGTGAAATCCAATGGATGATGGCTCGCTCGGGAACACCACTGCTCAAACAAATAAGGTAGAACCTTGAACTTCTCCACATCGATAACGTCCATGTCAACAAAAAGCGAAGTCCACAACCCAGGTAAGCCAAAGGCGACCTTTCTCCAACTTCGGCACACACAACATAGTGACATGGGGGGGTCCGTGGATTCGTTGATCAGTAGGTGAGATTTTCCGTGAGGAAGAGAAAGCATGAAGATTCGCTCAAGGAGCTCAACGGGGACGTATTGAATTGGGGAGAAGCCATATTGTAGAATTCCGGAGCTCATGTCATGCTCCGCCACATCAGCGGGGCAGTTAGGGCAGTCAAATGGGTCCATCACTGATGGGCCAGCGGTGTGTGACAGGCGCCCATCAACAGCGGGCCAGCGGACTCGGCCGAGCTGTCAAGAATTCGGCCTTGGGAATGACTGGGCCGAGACTCTAAAATAGGCCATGCGACATGGGTGGGCCGCACGAACAGAGCCCCATAGAGGACGGATCGGCCCACTTTGCCTCTGGCGCCCATGGGTTGCGCCCAATTGCACAGATCCCATTGTTGCGCCCATTGTTCTTTCAGGCAGTTAACCAGAGTGCTGCCTCGTTAGTACCACTGTGGGGGACAACACAGGAGAAAGTTAAATAGATATATTATTAACCTGTTGTATGTGAAGTAAGTATTTAAATGTGTTGACAGCAGCCTCGTTGTTGCGCCTGCAGGCAACAACAGGTGAATTTTTCGCCATGGATGGGTGGCATGAAAAAAAGCCCCTCATACAATGGGTCAGCCCACTTTGGCAGAGGTTTATGGCACCCATGCACTGCGCCCATTGGTCTCATTGGCGAGTCCCAACCTGTGCAATTATTTTGCACTCCACGAGAGGCACAATTCTTTTGCGCTCCAGGGCGCAATTACTTGCACTCTATGGGGGAGCAATTCTTTTGCGCTCTAGAGGTGCAATTATTTCAAGCTCCATGAGAGGCGCAATTCTTTTGCGCTCCATGGGGGGCGCAATTCTTTTGCAGTCCAGGGCGCAATTATTTGTGCTCCAGGGTGCAATTACTTGCGCTCTATGGGGGCGCAATTATTTTGCGCTCTAGAGGTGCAATTATTTCAAGCTCCATGAGAGGCGCAATTCTTTTGCGCTCCACAGGGGGCGCAATTCTTTTGCACTCCAGGGTGCAATTATTTGTGCTCCAGGGCGCAATTAGTTTGCGCTCTAGAGGTGCAATTATTTCAAGCTCCATGAGAGGTGCAATTCTTTTGTGCTCCATTGGGGGCGCAATTCTTTTGTACTCCAGGGTGCAATTATTTTTGCTCCAGGGCGCAATTACTTGCGCTCTATGGGGGCGCAATTATTTTGCACTCTAGAGGTGCAATTATTTCAAGCTCCATGAGGTGCAATTCTTTTGCGCTCCATGGGGGACGCAATTCTTCTGCACTCCAGGGTGCAATTATTTGTGCTCCAGGGCGCAATTACTTGCGCTCTATGGGGGTGCAATTATTTTGCCCTCTAGAGGTGCAATTATTTCAAGCTCCATGAGAGGCGCAATTCTTTTGTGCTCCAGGGCGCAATTATTTGTGCTCCAGGGCACAATTACTTTTGCGCTCTAGAGGTGCAATTATTTCAAGCTCCATGAGAGACACAATTCTTTTGTGCTCCATGGGGGGTGCAATTCTTTTGCGCTCCAGGGTGCAATTATTTGTGCTCCAGAGCACAATTATTCTGAGCTCTACAGGGGGTGCAATTATCTCAAGCTCCACAAGGGGTGAAATTATCTGTATTCCATGGGGGGGACAATTATTTTGAGTTCCATAAGGGATGCAATTCTTTTGCACTCCACAGGGGGCGCAATTCTTTTGCACTCCACAGGGGGCGCAATTCTTTTGCACTCCACAGGGGGCACAATTCTTTCAAGTGCCACTGTATGTACCTTGTGCTTTGATAGGGTTACAAATAGTCTGTGTCCAGCATTGTTTCAATGTCAGAGTGTGCCCAATGTGAAATGGGCACGAAATGTCATGTCAGAGTGCACCCAATGTGAATGCACATCAAATGTGTGCACTAAGTATGCATCTGCACCTGTTATTTTTCAGTGTGTATTTCCACCCATTATTCTTTTGCATGAAATGTTGAGTGCGCCCAATGTGAATGGGCATGTGAGTGGGCACCAAGTCACTATATTCCCACGGCATTTATTTTGCACAAAAAATATGCGCCCCCCCAATTGTAGTAAATGCGTGGACCAAAGTAGTTTGTAGCTGCCCCACTGAAACAATTTTTTTGTGCCAAATGATGTTTGGACTTTGTCAAAATTTGGCCATGTCCGGTATATTTTCCAGCTCAGGGTGTGGGGGAAGAAGCTTGAATGTACAAATTTAGTATCATTAGAATTGTATAAATGTCCTCTATCGATCTATACCTATTAGAAAAGCACCAGTAGTTGTGTAAATATTTTATGGCAGCAAAAGACTTGAAAGATGTTGGAAGGGCCAAGCAAACAAAGGCAAACATTCCGATAATTCTACAAGTTCATGCTACAAAACATGGGGGAAGAAGCTTGGATGCCCAAACAAGCTGGAATTATAATTTAGATGCAATTCAGCATCTACTGATACCATTTTTTAGAGCAACGGTTGTTTGTGGCCAACCGAATTCAATACTCAGCTGTTTTGTCTAGGCTGTCACACTCTCACAAGTGTGATTTTTCTGTCAAGCATGTTGCGTTGATTATTGTCCAGAGCTTTGCAGTGCTCTTCTTCATTTCTTAAGGCTCAGCCAAAAGTTACAGAGAAAGATAACTATATATTGGATAAAAGTAGCTGTAGGTTACTGGCTGAGAGCCATCTTGCAAATCTATGGAATCCATCCCGAAAATTCATGAAATCCATCCACCATTCCAGGAATTCCATCTTCAATTCCTGTAGATTAAACCAGGAAGTGTACTTCTGGAGCCCAGAGCCCAGCCTATATCCTGTACCATCCAAGAGAGTGAAATATGGGGCATTTGGGAGGCACCAATGTGATTTGGGAGTGACCTGGAGGGTGGGGGAGAATGGGAAGGCAGTAAAAAATGCGAAATATGAGAGAGCATGGGGAGTATCATCACCTACCCAGGTCTGGACACCTTAGAAAGTCAGGATAGGACCATAAAATGTTTTGGAAATGGGAGGAGAATGGGATGGCAGAGAAAAATGCGAAATAGGAGAGAGCATGAGAGGTATCATCACCTACCCATGTCTGGACACCTTAGAAAGTCAGAATAGAACACATTGAGCGCACTCTGATGGGCACATTCTGATGGGCGCACTCTGATGGGCGCACTCTGATGGGCGCACTCTGATGGGCGCACTCTGACATTTGGTGCACATTCCCATTGGGCGCTCTCCAAATACATACTGAAAAACAACAAGTGCAGATGCACACTTGTTGCAGGTATATACTAACTTGGCACCCACTCACATTTGGCATACCTTCACATTGGGCTCATATTTCATTTGGTGCACATTCACATTGGGCACACTCTGACATTTCGTGTGCATTCACATTGGGCACACTCCGATATTTCATGTGTATTCACATTGGGCGCACTCTGACATTTCATGAAGAAAAATAATAGGCGCAAATACACACTTGGCGCCCACTCATGTTTGGTGGAAATCCACATGGCAAAATTGGTGCACAAAATAATGGGCACAGATACACATTGGAATATAATGGGCGCAGATACACACTCGGTATTGACAGTTATGGTGCCCACCTGAAGCACCAATGGGCATGACAATCTGACACTGGCAGTGTCTTGGTGCCCACTCACATTTGTATTCACTACACAATGCTGGACACAGGCTATTTGTGACCCTGTCAACAGCACAAGGTACATACAGTGGCACTTGAAAGAATTGTGCTCCCTGTGGAGTGTACATCCCTCATGGAGCTCGAAATAATTGCACCCCCCATGGAATGCAAATAATTTCGCCCCTCGTGGAGCTCGAGATAATTGCACCCCCTGTAGAGCTCAGAATAATTGCGCCCCCATGCAGCGCAAAAGAATTGCACCTCTCATGGAGCTTGAATTAATTGCACCTCTAGAGCACAAAATAATTGCGCCCCATAGAGTGCAAAATAATTGCTCCCCCATAGAGCACAAGTAATTGCACCCTGGAGCGCAAAAGAATTGCGCCTCGTGCCCTCTGTAGAGCTCAAAATAATTGTGCTTCCCTGGAGCACAAAAGAATTGCTAGAGCACAAAATAATTGCGCCCCATAGAGTGCAAAATAATTGCTCCCCCATAGAGCACAAGTAATTGCGCCCTGGAGCGCAAAAGAATTGCGCCTCGTGCCCTCTGTAGAGCTCAAAATAATTGTGCTTCCCTGGAGCACAAAAGAATTGCTAGAGCACAAAATAATTGCGCCACATAGAGTGCAAAATAATTGCTCCCCCATAGAGCACAAGTAATTGCGCCCTGGAGCGCAAAAGAATTGCGCCTCGTGCCCTCTGTAGAGCTCGAAATAATTGTGCTTCCCTCGAGCACAAAAGAATTGCGCCTGTTGTGGAGCTTGAAATATTTGCGCCTCTACAGCACAAAATAATTCCACCCCCCATAGAGTGCAAATAATTGTGCCCCTTGTGGAGCTCAAAATAATTGTGCCTGTAGAGTGCAAAATAATTGCACAGGTTAGGACTCACCAATGAGACCAATGGGTGTAGTGCATCAGTGCCATAAATCCCTGCCAAAGTGGGCCAGGCATTGACTACAATTGGGGGGGCACATATTTTTTGTGCAAAATAAATGCCATAGGAACATAGTGACTTGGCGCCCATTCACATACACATTCACATTGGGCACACTTGACATTTCATGCAAAAAGATAATGGGTGGAAATACAACTGGAGAATAACAGACACAGATGCATACTTAGTGCAGGTACAAGTGATTTGGCACCCACTCACATTTGGTGAACATTCACATTGGGTGCACTGACATTTTGTGTGCATTCACATTGAGCGCACTCTGACATCTGGTGCCCATTCACATTGGGCACACTCTGACAATTGGTGCCCATTCACATTGGGCACACTTTTCATGCATTCACATTGGGTACACTCTGATGGGCGCACTCTGACATTTGGTGCCCATTCACATTCCAACATTTCATGCATTCACATTGGGCGCACTCTGATATTTCAGGCACATTCATGTTGGGTGCACTCTGATGGGCGTACTCTGACAGTTGGTTCACATTTACATTGGGTGCACTTTTCATGCATTCACATTGGGCACACTGACATTTTGTGCAGAAAAATAATCACTGACATTTTGTGCCCATTCACATTGGGCGCACTGATATTTCATGCACATTCACATTGGGTGCACTCTGATGGGCACACTCTGGCATTTGGTTCACATTTACATTGGGCGCACTGACATTTGGTGCCCATTCACATTGGGCGCACTTTGATGGGCGCACTCTGACCTTTGGTGCACATTCACATTGGGCACAGCACACTCTGACATTGAAACAATGCTGGATACAGACTATTTGTGACCCTATCAACAGCACAAGGTACATACAGTAGTACTTGAAAGAATTGTGCGCCCTGTGGAGCACAAAATAATTGCACCCCCTGTGGAGTGCAAAAGAATTGCATCCCTTATGGAGCTCAAAATAATTGTCCCCCCCATGGAATGCAAATAATTTCGCCCCTCATGGAGCTCGGAGCTCGAGATAATTGCGCCCCCTGTAGCACTCAGAATAATTGCACCCCCATGGAGCACAAAAGAATTGCGCCTCTTGTGGAGCTTGAAATAATTGCACCTCTAGAGCACAAATAATTGCACCCCCATAGAGTGCAAATAATTGCGCCCCTTGCAGAGCTCAAAATAATTTCGCCTGTAGAGCGCAAAATAATAATGGCATTGGTGCAAAGTGTGGGTTATTTTCAATAGGAGCGCCCATTATTGGCAGGCGCCCACCTGTTCGGCCCAGCCATCACTATGGATGATTTGTTGAGATGTCGGCCAAGTCCGCTGGCCCCATATGGTATGAAGCATTGTCAAGTTCGGTTGGTCCATTTGGTAAGGGCTAGGGTCACTGTCATATGTGAGCGGGGTTGTTCTCTTCTTCGTGGGTGTTCAGTCATGACAGATGATAATCAAATGGTAATCGTTGAAGGTCCTTACCAGATGGAAGTTGAGATACATTGATTTTCTGGATAAAAGCTGGATATGTCGTCTGGATGTTCAATTAGGTGTAATCAGTGTCAGATGCGCAACGTCGCCACCCGCTGAGGACGGTAGGACTTACCTTGAGCATGACGGGCCTTTTGGCATGGGAAGGGTATGTCTGAGTTTTGTGTCTGTGATGCTGTCGCCGATATGCACTTTTCTCAATGCGTGCGGGAGCGAAACAGCTTCGATTCTTTGGAAGAGGTGTAATCGGTTGGGAAAGAACGCCGTGCAGAAGAGCATCAAAGAACGGCGGCCGATCCGATCTTGAGTTTGCGGAACTTGCTGATCAGGTACTTGAATCCGGCAAAACGTGACCGCATTTCTGCCAGAACTGTCAACTGATGAACGTGGCAAAGGATTGTTTTTGCTTATGCGTAGACTTACGTGAAGTTGCTGGAACACTTCGCCCTTCAATCTTACCTTGAATGATATATCTCGGTACTATGCAAGGCTCGTTGGCCACCTTAAAAATGACATCTGCCTTAACCGCTCAACAACCGCTTGACCAAACTGACCTGAGTGTGCGACCCGAAGTCTTCTCACTGAGCATAGCTGGTTTCTTTAGAGTTCCCCCTAAGCGCGCGTGCGTAATTCCAAGAATCGACGAAATCAATGTTCAAGAACGCCACCCAATCATTCGACGATTGTAGTTGCAAGGCAAGAAATAATTACAGAAAAACCAACAAGGAAATCAAATAGTTTTCGACGAGAGGGGGTTATTTGGAAGATGAGAAAAAAAACCTCTGGCAATCACCACCACACGAGTAGCCTCCGCATCCAACGTATAAACCTTTGGGCCTCACCTCGCGACTGTCAAAGATCAATCATACCATCATGCCATTCGGTAGCCATCGCGTCAAGGCGTCTTGACCGCGAATCTACATCCGTGATCTCCAGACGGAAACCGTCGCTAAAGTAAGGCTGAAGCTTGCCCATCAACGTATCCTTACAGGCAATTTTAGTAGCTCGAGAAACGCCTCCGAGGTCTACGAAAAGCTTCTCAATTCCTCCTCCAGGTGACGACTTCGTGGACCTTCTGAACTTGATGATATCCGCGATTACATTTGCCTCCGACTTTGCAGAATTGTCAACAGAAAGTTCCAAGATGAGGACTTTTAGGTTAGGCAAAATAAAATCTTGATCTGGTCGTAAATATGAAAGAAATTCTTCATCATAGTTTTCGAATTGATAGCGAAGGTCGAGCTCAACGATTTGCTCCATCCCTTCAAGGAGAGTCCCGTAAGACCATTCCCCGTTAAGAGACAGCCTCTGCACCGAAGCCAACTGTTGATGACACCGGCGACGATCCGTCTCTGTCCAGAAACACTCTTTGTCTAGGAAGTCCTCGGCGTCAGCTGTAAGCGTCAGGGTCACAAGAGCTGGGAAGTCGAAGGGGCTGAAGACGCGAACGTCCATGGATCCAACGAACGCAAGTGATAATTCGACCAGGTGGTTGAAGGCCACATGGTCGACAGACTGAGAGGTAGGTGGGCCTTCGCTAGCATATTCCCCGCCGATGTAAAAGAAGCCGTGCTGAAGATTAGGACACATTGGAAATATCTGGTGCCATATATGTAATTCGAGGGACTCCATGAGATTCAAATGCGTGAGTTGACTCCACGGAACAACAAGTCGGATGCGAGATCCTTCGAACGAGAGTTCATCCATGCGTAGCCGTTGAAGACGGGGCGCATATGGAAAAAGAGGGGTGTCCTTGCTGTCATCGACATAGATGGCGTTCCGTACAATGGCCGACTCCAATTCATAAAACCTCAAGGTAGACCATGGCGAGTCACCAAGAGGTGATACAGAGGCGGCAGAGAGGTCAAGGTTAGGTGAAGGAAAGTCAAAATGACGGAATCGATGGGCGTATGGGAGAATTAAACCACTCAACGGTTCCGACGCTTCGGAGGGACTACCAATGAACCTGAAATTCAGTGGAAGGTTACGTGATCTAGTGAACCACTGCTTCAACATATCAGGTATGTTCTTCCGTTGCTGCGGCTTGAGATTGCGCATGTCAAGAGAAAGCGTGGTCCACAGCCCAGATAAGCCGAATGCGACATCTCTCCAGGTTCGGCATACGCGACATATATTTTTCAGGGTACGTTTGTTTGTTGCGAAACGGCCAATACTCTTTTTGATGTCAAAAACGCAAAACATGAATATTTCTGCGAGGAGCTCGGTGGAAAGACGCTGAATCGGGGAGGGGTCATTGCGTCCTCCAATGCCATTAGAAACGGCACAATTTTGGACATCCAGGGCTGCAACCTTCCCTCTTCCAGCAATACTTGGCGAGGGATTAGCTTCAACAGAGACGCTCCCGAGTCGTGTAGGGGCTCCGTCGTTTTTCTGGGTTACAGGTGGCAGCGACGTGTTCTGAAAGTAGGGCGTACTTGGTTACAGTTCTAGATCTCTTGGGCAGGAGCAATAGTACCTTCGGCATGTCAGAATCTTCCAGTGCAGAACACACCGCAAGAGTGAATGGTGAGGGGGGTTGTTAGTTTGTTCAGCTGTCGGGAGCGTTCGGGATGGAAGCGGAGGAAGTTGGTAATGTAGCACAGTAATTTTTAGCCGTAGTTACGACCTCGAATGAAGTACTAAGTAGCGTCGACAAGGAGAGGAATTCGAGGAAACGAAGGGTTGAAAATTGAACGGAAGTCGCGTGACTTTAAGTCGACGCTGAGTTCCAAATTTACGGCACCGACAATGTTATGTAACCAATCGACCATCATCGATCATCGATCATCATCAATCATTGTTCAATGCAATCAACCGTCTTCAAACCTCACGGTCCTGGAAAGCTTGCGGGTAGTCGAAACCTGCCGCACGAATGTGGAAAATGTCACGTTGTAAAACCCTCTGGCGCTCCAGCATTTTCGGTCTGTTCAGGGTGCAAGATTGTCCGATACTGTGTAAGTTCTATAACGCCACCCGGATTTCATCTATCGACTGAATTGAGACGACGTCCTGAACTTATCAGAGCCGTGAACACCAAGTCCAAGACTGGAAAACGCACAAGGCATTTTGTAAGCGCCAACGGGAGTACAACGAGACTATTTTGAAGAAGATGCAAGAGAACTCGCCGTTGACGCCATCTGGACTGTCGGAGAAGGAAGAAGTCATCCACTTTCTCGACGACTTCCTCCGACTTCATATGCATACGCTCAGAATTTCTATGCAGTGCTGCATTCATATGGCTAAACCCTGGTTCGATGTCAAGAAGAAATTCATGTTAATCGACCTTTCCCGCGTTAAGAATCATGATGGAAATCCTGCTAAAGCGTTCACCATCGAATGCGTGCAATCAGCATACGTGCCAGATGGACGTCTACCACTTGGAGGAGAAGTACTAGAGGCTTGGAAAGCCTTTGACTGCGCAAAACCAATGGTAGAGGCGCAGTATGGGGCGGAGAAATTCAAGCCAGGCTATTTGGGAGCGATTCTATGTGTCTGTAAGTCAAGCTTTTGTTTAAAGTCCTACATGGACCGATTGTCTCATCACCCCTCTCTCAGTTAAACTCGAGGATTTTCCGCAAACAACGTTCCCAATTCCGATATACGGTTACGACATTAACCGTGATGGCCCTAATCCTGAGGGGTGGTACGATAGGATGAAATCCGTGATTGATAACGGTATCGTTCACCGCTTTTTCGAAGATGAGTGGAAGATAGGCGTCATGGTAAAGAAGAGGGCGAATTGGGTATGGAAAGAAAAGTCGAGGGCCGATGTCCTTCGAGATTTGGGTGTTTTCGTTCCCTTTTGAGTGTGGTATAGGGTTATGCCTCGGACACACTGCCAACTGATCAGAAAAGATGAATCTCTTTCGTGGCTCAACGAGCTATGGCCCTTCCTTTCTTTGATGCACTTTCGTTCAAAATCACGAAAATGTCACTGAAGACCCTCGATTTTGTTAGATTCCTTTTTACTTTTCAACTTTCACCTCACCTCTTGGGCGAAAACATGTTGAGAATGAGAGAGAGAGAGAGAGATCCCGGAGCATTCCCGACTCTGAGGAACAGAAGATGATCATGACATAATCACGGCAAGTGCCATGGTGACGTTGAAGTTTCGAGAAGGGAGACTGCTGGCCACGCTACAAGTTGAGCATTGCCTTTCATTTTATCAACTCTCACAGCTATAATGATAGCCAACCAAGTCGGCGGCCCCTCAAGCTTGTGGTCGATTGGGAGGTAAACGACGATCATGGTTGAAAGCCACTTTGCCTCATGTTTTTCATACACAGGCTGCAATGTTTGAAGTTTGACGGCCCTTCATCTCCCTTTTTCCAACGAGGCTGACCCAATGACTACTTTTCCCATGCAAACCACCACATACACTCGAATGTTGTCTCACGACTTGTCACTACTCAAATGACACATTGTTTCCATGGCCTCATATCTATCGTCGTTCTCTGACACCCACTCTTTCCTAAGAGACAGGATGCCACACCAGGTTTGTTTCGAATTATTCCCGTCACTGAATTGATGACGCCGCTGCATATGATATAGATCTCACATAAAGAACCATCGCCATTGCTTCAACCCCAGCCTCCGGAAGACTGTGGTTTCTGGAAATGGTCGGACGTTCCTTATCCGGGCCATATCGTTATGGTATGGGATCCAGAGTACGGAATGCTGTGGATTTCTGGTGGTGATCTCGCCGAAACCAGGATGATTGATAGTGATAGCCTGTTTCCAAGGGAGGCGGTCGATTTTGAGCAATCGTCATCCAGTATGTTCGCTCCTGACACTCCAACCTCGGCCTCTGCAATTGCGTGGTACGGAGATACTACTCTCCATAATTTTGCCGACCCCCACCCTTGTAGTGAAGCGAGATCACGACATCACTTGACACAGACTTCATCCACTCTCGGAGGGCACGATGTGTATGTACGAGGATCGCTCATGTGGGAAACTCATTTTAAGGGGAAAAGATATTCATTTCTTGGGAAATTGGGCCACGAATTCGAGTTTGACCCCGAGATGGAATTTTCAAAGAACCGTCTGGTTCTAAACAGCCAATGGGAGGCTTGCGAGGAACCCGTCCAAAATCGCGACAAGGTATGGTTAATTTTCACAGTAATATTGTAGGCCCATAACCTTTCAGTTATCGTTATTGACTTCTCCGTAGCAACAGAGCGAGGACGAGGGGTCGCAATTCGGCACATGGACAACGCTCGAGGCACCCCAAACGCCCGATTGCGAAGATCTCTCTTTCCCTTTCAGTAACTCTCGAGGACGTAGGCGGCTTAAGAAGCGTCGGCCGCCTGAAGCTTCGAACCCGCCTCTGGAAGTTCTCGGGCGAGAAGCATATAATCATCTACCTCAGGTTGACGATGGGTGGTTGTTCGTCGAAGGAGGGAGAAGTGGCGCATCTGAGGCAGAATAGGAGCCGTTTGAGAATATTTCGACTAGCAATTTGCAGCACCTCTCATTTTAGCACGACCACCCTCTGAAAAGAACCTAAAACGACTACGAAAACAATGATTAGGGTTCGAAAGTACTTACGCCACGTCAAACTTAAAGAGGGAGTAAGGTTGAGCAAACAGAAGTCGCAGTTGGTTTAAAATAACGACACAGAATTAGACCAATAAAGAACGAAGTAAATGAAGCGACTTGGTACCAAGAAACCGCGGATGTAATTCAACGAGACATAGTGCGCTTAGAGAGCATATGGATACGGAGTGCAGCCAATGGCAACGAGCCCACCCTAAATTTTTTGAATGTCAACTCGCCAGAACGAACGCGGTAGAGCAAGGCTCACATAGTTGTCATTATCGCAACAAACCGGTTGCTTGGAGCTATAGAATTTGTCAATTTTTGCAATGTTGCGAAAAAGAGTTTCTTGCTTACCCAATGTTGCCGCCTAGCGTGCTGAGTGGTACACAAGTAACCCCGCTAGTAAGGCGGGAATATTCAATATTGACACAGCAAAAATTTAAGGGTCAGACGCTTACATGAGGAGGCCCTCAACGTCGCTAAGGATAATTCCAAGGAGGCCCAAAATAGCACCTAAAAGTCCAGCTTCTTGCACTTGATCACCTGATGGGGAAAGGTCAGTAATGAGCGAGGCGAGAAAAAGAATCTTACAGCAGAGAATAGGGCCATTGTTGCATTGATGCGATGGGGAAGGCGACGGAGTCTGTACGAAATGCCTCAAGTTTTTTTGCGAGTGACCCAAGTTATGAACGTACAGCGGTGAGGGTGACGGTGGTGGTGATAGGATCGATAAAGGTAACCGTGTTCGTGATAGTGACAGGTTTGATGATGGTAGTCGTAATTGGTACGGTGACGCTGGTCGTGCTAACAGTGCCAACAGTGGTTTGTTGGGTGTAGGTGGTGGTTACAGGTCGAGTGACGGTGGTAGTGATGGGCACGGTGAGCGTGGAGACAATAGACGTTGTGGCCGTTGTAGTGAAGGGCTGAGTTACCGTCGTAATAAGCGGTATAGTAATTGTGGACGTCGTAGTGAACGGGGTGGCGGTAACCGTCTGCGTAGTGGTATAAATGGCGGGCTTCGTCACTGCCAAGGTGGTTGTGAACGTCGCCACGGTACAACTGCTACAAGACCTATGTTAAACGACAGACGCGCAAAATGGTGACAGGGGCTTACCCAGTGGTCACGGTGGACGAAGCCGGAGGGTAGTAGCCCAATTGAGGGGAGGCAGCAGCAAAAATGTTCATGGTCGCCACTACATAGAGGGATGCAGTCAAACGAGCAAGCATCTTAGAAAGATAAAAAGCGAAGTTTCGAGTGTGTAGAACAATGAATGGAGCCTGTGTTCGACTGCAGAAAGAATCAGACGGACAGCTTTTATAGGAACGCCAACGAGATTATCCGAAGCGGATTCTGCTTACCTAGGCTGCGTATGGGGGATAGGGTGGTCTCCGAGAACGCCATCTAGATTGAATTTCTGGCAAAGGTGCAGGACTTACCAAAAGAAAAATGGATTTCTCCAATGTTTGGCAGGTTAGCTTGACCGTGGCGCTGACGTTCATCGATAATCATCAACTGTTTATCAGGAGGAGGGGAATCATATTTACATACTTGGAGTTTCGAGGCAGAGCAGTGGTCTATTCATCCGCCATTGAGAACGTACGGACGTCGGCCAGCGACATGATCCGAAGGGTCTTTGGATCTGCGCACTTCTTTTTCGTCCAATAGAAGGGAGAAAAGTGCGGCGCTGGTAATTTGCCGCCGTCCTATGCGGGTATGGACGTTTCGGATCTCTGAACGGCTGCGTAGTGCAACAGGGAGGGTAGCATCCTTTCGAGTTTTGGCGTTTCTTTTGGGAATTGAAAAAGCAATGAAAGATGATCAAGTAAAAGTGGCTCTTCTATGCATCTTTTCGAAACCCTCGTTCCTGAGCAGATGGTCTCTCTGCGGTCACCACAAGTTCTGGGGCGATGTCGGAGGCCGATGAGATCCGAGGTCGAAGGCCCGCGGCAGGATGGATTTTTTTTTCTCTATGTGACGACTTCTGACCACTACGGTTGGTAAGCGTACGAATGGGTAAGGAGAGGTGAAAAGTTCACGCGTGACGCATGTGCATGAGCGCTTGAGCAGTGACTAGTGGGCGGCTAGTAGTACATCGAGGCCCCAAGTGGTCGTCATCAACATCATGCAGGCAGCAGAAGAAAGTAATATATGCTGACAAGGTTATATTTGGCATCATTCTCCGATCCCAACAACTAACTCATATACGGATTAATCGAGTTTAAAATTATTTTTACTATAGTCTAATCGAGGCACACGGGTGCCTGGGGACGAAACCGCATCTCCTCTCCCCGAGATGACGAGGCGCACGGGCGCCTGGGGACGAAACAACATCTCCTCTCTCCCCGAGATGGCCTGGTCTCACCTCGGAGACTAGCGATCCAATTCCGCGAGGGGTATTTATTGCATAGCAAGTATTGTCTCGCACTTCTTCCCTCTTTCCTCACTCGAGATACATTCCCTCGCATCGCTCTTGTTCGCGCTCACTTATCAACCTACGGTTGCATCAGACAAGTCTTCAATTATTCTATGGCTACCAGCAATGATACTCTCAATACTCCTATTCCTTCTGATCCTTCTCAGTCAGTCCTCGGGAATGAACAAGGTCCAAATCAAAATCAAGGAGATCAAGAACTACGTGAAGAAGGCCAACCTCAGATTCAAGACCAAAATCCTGAACAGGACGACAACGAGCAGGATGACCCAAGCTTGCCTGGGAATTTCCCGGCTGCGAACGCCGTCCTCGCTTCGTGTAACTCTGTCCTTGAGGACTTTAGATCATCGCGGATTCCTAAAGCTACTGCGCTATCCAGAATCTACACTCACTTACTTGATGGTATTCCGGACAATGACAATTCCTTTGCTTCAACTGTTGAAGAAGCGTTTGCTCGCTACCTCACTATTGTCGAGAATCATCAGCATCACCTTCGGGAAGCTGAGCATCGTGGTGGACGTCGACAGCGATCGAAAACTCCACCGGACAATCATGTTGAAAGAGGGAACCCGGGCCCTGACAATGATCAATCACCCCATAAGCGTGCAAAACCAGACGAAGCTCAATATCCCTGGATCATATCCGACTTTATCCACCGTGTCACTTTATCACCATTGCTTACAAGCACGCTTGAGTTACTTAAGCTCTACGCAATTGATCCAAAAGGGACGAAGCGTTCTCTCGTCAATTCTCCGACATGTCCTGAATTCCCAGACTCCGAATGGACTAACATTCTCGCAGGAAGAGCCATCAATCTTGATGCTGTCCTCAGTGGTTATTACTTAGTGTTTGAAAGTCCGGTTCGGTCCGGTTTTTTGATGCCCAGGGGCGTTAACCGTAACCGTAACTGGTCTGCCTTTTCCCCAGAAGTCAAAAGACCAGACCGGACCGCAAAAAGACCGCAGACCGCGGTTTTTTGCGGTCTATAGACCGGTTTCGGTCTGCATCAGTTTTAACCGGTTTATGACCGGTCTTTAGGCCAATATTTTAAAATTATGAATCGGTAAATTTATTAACATCTCTAATAGCTTCAAAACGAGCCCAAGAACGTTAAATTCCGTTAGGTATTGGTGCTTCTATAAAATAAGTCTGGTACATCTATTATTCCCAAAAGTAATTTACATTTTAATTCATATCTCTCTCGTTTTTTTACCAAATCGTACGTTCTTGGGTGCGTTTTAAAGGGTATTTAAGGGGCTACAAAAAACCGGTCCAAACCGGTCAAGACCGGTTCACGTTAACCGGTCTTTTTGCGGTCTTTACATTTCAAAAATAAAAGACCGTAACCGCAGGTCCGGTCTTTTGCGGTCTTGGTCCGGTCTGGTTACGGTCTTTTTCCAGTCACGAGACCGGACTTCCAAACACTATTTTTCATCGTATATATGTCAACACATATCAAACCTGACTCAGTCAATTCATACCTCTCAGGCATCTGCAACCAACTCGAGCCTTTCTTCCCCGATGTTCGCAAGCGGCGAGGAAGCATTCTAGTTTCTCGAACTCTTGCCGGATGCCGACGTCGCTTTGGAACGCCCATCCACCGCAAAAGACCCTTATCAAAAACCAATTTAGAAACCGTGATATCTCATATCGGCACCTCCCTGGATCATGATGAAAAATTATTCCTCGCTATCTTACTTACCGGATTCCATGGTCTCTTGCGACTTGGCGAGTTGACATTTCCTGATAGAGTCGACTCTCGTGACTATCGCAAAGTCACCCTACGCCATACCATCAAGATATCAGCTACATCCTACTCTTTCTTGCTGCCTGGCCATAAGGCCGACCGCTTTTTTGAGGGGAATACTATCATAATCCAAAAAACAAACCTTCCATCCAACCCACACAAATTTCTCCTGTCATACCTCGCCTCGCGAGATCATCTCCACCCCTTCAAGCCTGAATTATGGTTACGTAAGTCTGGCATTGTGCCGACACGTTCCTGGTTCATCAAAAAACTTCGCCGATTTTTCCCCTCTGACATTGCAGGGCAGTCAATGCGCGCCGGAGGTGCCACATCATTAGCTGAAGCTGGGGTTTCACCCGATATCATTCAAGCCACAGGACGTTGGGCGACGGATACTTTCAAGATTTACATCAGAAAAAATCCCGTCCTTCTCCAAGCCATGCTCTTTGGTCGACCTGCTCACCAACCTGCATCTGTTTCATAATTTTCCGAACATTTCTCTTATTTTTTTATTTTTTATTTTTTTCTGACTTTGTAGTACTCTTTTTATGGACTTTTCAAGCCTAGGACACTTACATCAACATCCTCAATTTTCCGGCACCTCACAAACATCCCTCCGTCTTCCACTCCACTCAACTTCTTATACTTCAACTTTACTCATCCCTCCCTTCCCTCCCCTTTTAACATCTTCAATAGGTATAATAGGACATTGGTACCACAAAATGGACATCCTAGCGGGTTCTCCAGCTGCGCGGCGCACCTGGAGAACTCTGCTTTTGCCTATTTACATATATATAAGGTTTCGGACACTTCACCCTCACTCGATTAGATGCGGTGAAGAATACACCATGGTAACTTACATGTAGACGCAATCGTTGGACCACTTGACTGAATTGGTCCAATGTTCGGAACAACTGGCATAAATTATTGACCACCACATCGATGCTATGTCATTCCTGACAAAATCGTCCACATTGACGCGCAACAAAGGACACTTTTCCCGCCTTCATCCAGTCCGCTTTGCCGAAATCGTAAATAGGCAAGTAACAGCAGAGGAAGATGCCCATCACGTTCGGCACGGGTAGATCTTTATATTACGGGTGTTGTGTAGATGTTCTCATCTGTCGTTCCTGCCTGAGTTAGGGTTAATCCGGGTTCCACTGTGGATCGGTGAAGTCAAGCTTGGAACACTCACTTGTGTTGTGGGCAGAAGAGGCGAGAGTTGTCCTCGGCGTGAGGAAAGCCAAGAGAAAGATGAGGGAAGGGTAAGTGTAGCTCCACACCACCCAGCACCCGAAGTGTTCAAGCAGCAGTGCTTGTTGGAGTCGTTCAAGTCGGACGGGCGATGCCATTGGCCTTTTGGAGCCTAAGGTAGGAGTAATTTGACACGCGTGGGTGATATAAACTTGCGAGACTTACTTTGTTTCCATGAGTGAGCAAGTTTTCCTACATTGGGCAATAGAACTCGTTCATCTGAATTACCGATGTGTGGTGGAGTCTGTCACCGTCGAGTTCTTTGCGATATCTTATTGTCTCCGAACGATCTGATGACGAAGATGTGCAGTGCAGCGTCACTTAACTTGTGCGAAAACCCAACAGAAGTGTCCCGGTATGCAAAACGCGTAGAGAGGGATATGGAGGAGTGAGACGTAGCGACTGCCCAGGTGAGCCTTCAGATGGATACGGGGTGTAGGGTTGAGATCAGGTCGGATATAAGTATGCGTCACGTTCAATTTGAAGTTGGGAGGCTTTTACGACATTATTGAGGTTGTACGAGCTATTAGGGGCGGGGGTTAATATACAATACTTTGCGCGTAGCAAAAGGCGCAGACGGACAAACCAGGGTAGATCGCTGAATTTCCATCCCGACAGTTCATCCACATTCTAAAAAAAGGCGCAAAATTCGTTAGCAACGTCTCAAAGAAGAGCGCGGTGAAATGACTTGTAGGATGGGTCGACCCCATGGTCGTCGCTGAGAAGTGACAGATGCGATTGTTTGGCCTTGTAGTGTACTGTGGTTTGTTAGAATCGAAAGGCAATAACAACGTCTAAAAGGATTCCCAATATTATGAACGCAAGCTCATCTCCACCGTTCTCCTGACTTGCAGCAAGGAGCGCTTTGTTCATACTAAGAATTTACATTGGTTCGAATTGAGAGGCGCCGTCAGATATTCATACAGCCTGAATTTCCATATCACTTCTTCTCGTTGCGCGTCATCAATTTCCACTCTCCGATCCCTTCTCCTTCGCGCAAATCGCCCTTTCCTAATTCAAGCATAAAATCAGTTGCTTCACGCTACGAGAACATTAGTTTTACACACCTTTGAACTACGCGCCGAAATTTGACGAGGGGTAATCAGCAAAACATAGATTTCGATCTCATACGACGCAAGAACTCACCAAAGCGTTCACTTCAATTCCGCGAAGACCGTCTTTCTTGATGTACGTGATGAAAACTTCAACGTCGTAACCGTGTTCGTCCCCATCCTTCTTCTTCGTGACCTTAAACTTGCCGTGATCTCCTTCGGCGAATTTCTCCTTGAGGCTCTCAAATGTGAGGGTTCCTTTGGCTTCAAGTGGGCGTTCGTCTACCGGACGTGTCAAATGAGATCAGAATAACGATCAAAAATGGCGACACTTACCATCGCTGTGCGCGGGTGAGGTATACGTTCCAAAGAAGGTAAGTGTAGGGCGCTCCCCATGATGGTGGTGGTGGTGGTGACCACCCTCGTGTGGGGGAGAATGATTATCGTCCAACCATACGAAGAGATGGTCGCCCTCGGATGCTGCGGTTGCTGGCGCGCTGATTCGCGAATGTTCAGCCATGTCAGAAACTGTGGAACTTGTTGTAGCATCGTTACGCTGAGGTGGGTGTTTAAGTATACAGTGGTTTGTATCCCGTGCTCAGGACCTCGAATACCGCTTCACTCAGAAAGGACAGAATTAGACAGAGCGCTGAAGAACACGATGTGTCTGTCAACTCTCCGCAGCAGCACCCATAATCCCATGTTCGTTTGATGTTTGGAAATGACGTGGCTCCTGACGACATCGCGTCTCCAAGGTTAAACGTTAAAATTTTAACGTTTCTAAGTACTTGTCGACGTTTGAGCCACGGCGTCGTCGGACCTCTGGCATTCAGAAGGTCGGAAGTTTCCACTTTGAATGAGGCGTATTCTTTTAGACCAGTGTAGTTCGAACACCATAGAGTGTCAAGGCAAACGCCGCTCCACAGGTCCCGGAATGTTTTAAGATTCAATCTTCCAATACGACGCGTCAGTCTAAACGCTGCCCAATGCGCCACGACCAAAGTTATATATATCTGAATGGTTCAAAAAAAGACTTCGATCAGCAGGTCGTAACCGCATGACGCGCACGCTTACAACAGGCGACAGGTGAAATGATCAAACAACACTGGTGTGTAAAAGAATGTACTACGGCCCGTTTGTCACCTTTACGACGTTAGTGAGGTTTCTTACCTGAGGGGCGGGAGGTTAATACTTTGCGCACTTCGATAAAGTACAATGGTGTTGCTCGCGTTTCAAGGTGCACATGGGCAAACCAGGGTAGACCGCTGAAGTTCCATCCCCCCATGTTCAGGACCTCGAATACCGCTGCACCAGAAAGGACAGAATTAGACAGAGCGCTGAAGGACACGAGATGTTCCTGTCGACTCTCCGCAACGGCACCCATGATCCCATGAACGTTTGTTGTTTTAAAATGACGTGGCTCCTGTCGACATCGCGTCTCCTCCAAGGTAACGTTTCTACTTGTCGACGTTTGAGCCACGGCGTCGTCGGACCTCTGGCATCTAGAGGGTCGGAAGTTTCCACTTTGTATGAGGCGTATTCTTTTAGACCAGTGTAGTTCGAACACTATAGAGTGTCATGGAAAACGCTCCACAGGTCCCGGACTTTTTTCAAAATGCAACGATTCCATTAAGACTTGAGTGGTGGTAAACGCCATCCAAACGCACGCTGATTAGTCGTGGTGACTAGGAATATTTGCGCAAGTCTGTGCGAGATGCACGCAAGACGTGCGTGATCCTGGGTAATATCCGCGCGAGTTAGCTTGTCAGAACACTCCAAGCTGGGCGGACGATGTTAGGCCGTTCGGGACTATGATTTGAGGATCAAAACTTGGCGCACGGATAATATAAAGTGGCCGGACTCACTTTTTGTTATGGGTAATTATGGGTGAATTGTGGGTTACAAGTCAAATGCGCCCGTCACGTCCTGACATTCATCTGAATGGCTAACGTGTTGTGATGAGGACCCACGACGCGGGGATTCCAAGCGCGGGTGATATAAACAGTGCACTCACGCTTCTCCGTGTTGAATTACAGGTTTAACGTGGTCGTTCCGTCCTGACCCCCAACCAACCCCCAACGGGGAACTTGAGTGAAGATCAATTACAAGAAAAGGATGGGGCTCAACTCAAACTCACCGAAATCGTGAATATTCGGAAACAAAGAGAGCCATCATGGCCGCGGGTGATCTTTCAATTAGAGATGTTGTGTGGATGTGTCCCGGAGGCTCAGCCTGAGCTAAATAGAACAAATCTGCGGGCGGTGTAATGGAGCTCAAGCAAAAAAGTGGAGTCGTCGTCGTCGGGGAAGTTTTGAAATCTCAGAGATTTGAGAAATGGTTCTAGTAAAATCTCGGAATGGCTCAAGTTGAGCGCGTTATGTTGGGCCTTTCGGAGCTATGATGCGAGAGTCAGAACTTGGGGCCGTAAAGACGTTGAACTTTACTTTTCCTAAACTCCCGACAGCGAAAACTTGAGTCCAGATAGTTATACAATCAGTTTCGAGAAAAGGACGTGCATAAATTTAAACTCACCAAAATCGGGAATAGCCATTACACTCATCGCTGGTACATTGTGAGAGTGGCCGATATAAACGTGAAAGCTCCCCTCCGCGACACCTAACGCCCGCGTATTGGCAAAGGCGGGACGCGTTCTTTGATCTCGTTCCTTGACCACGATATCCTAATCATGGTACGTTTTGTAAGAATTCCGATTCGTCAGAATAGCCACGTTATTGGGTGGATGGCTGATATACACTGGTCAGACTCACCGTTCTTCTACGTAGTAGATGCGGTTGTTTGGTTCTATCGAGTTTGTTTGTTAGGATCCAAAGGGGATGACAGGATCTTTTGTCTCGAACGCTGTAATGAGTGTAAGTAACCTTCCCCAAGTTCTCTTCAAATCGATACTAACATGTGCTATAGTCTGACACGTCAAAGTACAACCAATTCACGAACTTATTCTGTAACCTCAAGAGCTCGTCTAGTGGTAGGGAACGACAGAAACAATGGTTAGACGCGCTAGGCAACCCCGTCCGTTTCTTTTCTTTTCCTTCCCTTTTCTTTTTGGGTGTGAGGCTGACGTTGGGTATTGTGGTAGACATGTGAATCCTGTGCCCAGGACCCAACTAAACGGATCTGCGACGTCGAACGAGTCGCTTGTAAAGCGTGTAAAAAAAGACATCGTTCGTGTCCGCGGTTCATCAGGTTCATGATGGAGACTATTACTGGGGATCTGGGGATCTCTAACGAGACGTACGAGCGGTACCGAATCAACTTTACGAGGAAGGGTGGGGGAGGGGCTGCGGCGAGTACTAGGAAGAGTTCGTCGAGGAAGGCGAAGGAGAGGAAGGTGAAGGATAGGGAGAGGAGGTCTGCGAGGTCTGCGTCTATGGCTGCGGCCAAGAATCAGCAAAATGGTCAACCCGTTGCTGGAACGTCCGCGTCCGCGTCCGCTGGACCACTCCATGTTCCTGGATTCGAGTCGGATTTGGAGAGTCTGTCGGATTTGGATGACGAAGAAGACGATCATCCACCCTCGAATTCCGCTGCGATCCCATCGACATCTAGAGCACCCAACAACATTAAATTGCCACCATCACGTACACCCGGCAGCCATCTCACGTTAGAAGGATGGTCTCAGTTATGCCTCAGCATGTCCGCCTCCCTCGACAACGTTTCTCGTTCCAAGAGCTCCGTCCCCCTGACTCCCTCCTCTGGCGCCGTCGTCACCCGCAACCGCAGCAGTACCGCCCAGGAACTAGCAGGCCCTGGCGTGAAACGCCCAAGTTTCCTTCCTCCCCCTCCTCCTCCTCGCACAGCGGGGAGCACCCCCGTCAATGGGGCCGTAGACCTCAAGCGTAGAGTCCAAGAGCTCGAATCGACACTCAAAGAGCGAGACAGAGCCCTCAAGAAACAGCACGAAGACCGCGTAAGAGGCGATGCACGTGTGCGACTACTCGAAGGTCAACTACGGGACTCGGATAAGCGTCTGGAGGAGTGTACCGCCCGACTTAACGAAGGAGGGTCTAGGGAGCTCGAGGAACGCGATGCGCTTCTCAAAGAGCGTGAGGCCCGTGTGCAGGAGCTTGATCAGCTTCTTAAAGAACGGGATACGAGGCTTGAAGAGCTGGAGTCTCGTGTGGAGGGACTGCATGCTCGTCTTCAGGACTCATCGGCAAAGGGGGAGGACCGTCTTCGTGAACGGGATGCGCGTATCGAGGAACTCGAAGCCAGGCTTGAACAGGGGCGGGGTTCGGAAGAGCGCGATAAGCTTTCTGCCCGTGTTAAAGAACGGGAACTGCGTCTCAAGGAACGGGACGCTCGGATCCTAGAACAAGACGTTCAAATCCAGGACCTCACTAATCGCTTATCGGAACGTCGCGAAGATGAAAACCGCGTGTTGGATGCGAGGAGGGTGGAAGACCTCGAGAGGCGACTACGTATCCAGGAAGAGTTGAGGATCCAGGAGGAAAGGATGAGGATTGAGGAGGGGAGGTTGTATCGGGTTAGGGTGGATGAGTTGGAGGGGATGGTGAGGAAACGGGGGGAGGGGGCGTCGATGATGTGTGAAGTTGGGATTCAAGCTCAAGTTCAAGTTGACGATTCACCCCAAGAACTCGACGAACGCGAGAAAGATATCGGATCTAGGGAACAAGAATGTGCGCAGCGCGAACTTGAAGTACGCGATCGGGAAAAGGGGGTCAAGGAGCGCGAGAGGGGGGTTAAAGACCGCGAAAAGGATATGAGGGAGAAGGAACGTGAATTCCGGGAGAGGGAGAAGGAGACGCGGGAGAAGGAGAGGGAGAGGAGGGAGAGGGAGAAGGGTGTTGGGAGGCTTGATATGGCAAGGTATACGCCTGTTGCGTTGGATGAGGATGGGGAGAGGGAGTTGAGGGAGTTGAAAGATGAGATGGATGGTACGGTTTTTCTTCTTTCTTTCTTCTTTTTCTGACGACGATGACTGATTGATTTGATAACAGCGCTGAAATCATCAAGATTCAGACAAACGATCTTAACGCACGGCGTCCAAGTCTTACTCCTCAAGCTTCTCTCAGACCTAGAAACAAACTCGAGCGACATGGGCCGAAGTCGCGTTCAACGACGGCTTTCCGAAATCCAGAAACAATTGGGAAGCGTGATGATCGCGGGCGTGGAGACGGATATGGAGAGGAGTGAGTATATGGAACGGTTGGATGCTGTTGCCGTTGTGAATGGGGGAACGACGGCGAGGGGGGAGAGCGCGAGTACCGCGGGGGGTGGGGGGAAGAGGAAGAGGAGGGCAGCGGTGGATGGCGAGGCGGAGGGGGAGGAGGGAAGTCGGAGGAGCGGGAAAAAGGCCAAAGGGGGTCAGTCGAGTTCGAGCTCGTTGAACCTGCCATTTGGGGTTTGAAATTTGATTACCTGGTGTTATTTTCTACATTTCGGCTAGCTATTTGACAATGTATTGAATGAATGATGACGTTCAGAAAATGTTATAAGTCATGGGTGTGAGTATACTACATGCACAATAGTGCATTACGTGCGATAAGCATTTGGAGGACCCAAAGGGTAGACCGGTGATACCGATTGAAGTTCTCATATACAGGCTGGCCAACCAAGGTACGACTTCACATAATATCAATGTCTGTCTACGAGAGACTAGGCTGGCCACGAGCTTAAGAAAAGGGGAGCAAGCTCCCCAATTACTTAGGCAGCAACATACATTAACCGGGAACCCTCTCCCCTTAGTGCCGTCATCTCGCATTAATTGAACCAAAGCACTAGGGGTGTGTTCTTTCCGATCTGCTTCAAACTTCACATTTTCTCGTGCTCTCTAGACTCTTACGACTACCGATATTACGAACCCTAGCCGATATTCGCGTCATGAAGGATGGATGATCAACTTAGACATATCCTTCTCGAAATCGGCACATGAAACTTGATATCTCGCTCTGGATTGACTGCAATGTACAATAATTCGTGCGCTACTACAGTAGTACACATTTGTGATAAACGCTTCAATTGCAAGTCAAGCTCAAAAAATCAAGGCTTGCACTTCGGCTTATGTGCCTTCCAGTCCTCCTTCTGACACTTCGGTGAACACTGAACAATCAGAAAATGTTATAAGTCGTGGGTGTGAGTACCTGCCAGTGCACAATAGTCGATTGCGATAAGCATTTGGAGGCCCCACTGCCACCCAGGCGAGAGAAAAGGGGAGCAATTAATATCAAGCTCCCCAATTACTTATGTAGGCAGCAACATGCATTAATCTGCCAGTGGAGCTCCCTCCCCTTCGTCGCATTAACGAACCAAAGCACCAGTAGTGTGTTCTTTCCGATCTGGTTCAAACTTCACATCTTCTGACTACCGTTATCCCGAATCCTAGCCGATATTCGCGTCATGAAGGATGAATGACCAGGCCAGGCCAACTTAGACAGCAATGTACAATAATTCGTGCGCTACAAGTACACATTTGTGATAAACGCTTTGTGAAGCTCAGAAACCTGGTCACCAATCAAGGCTTGCACTTCGGCTTATGTGCCTTCCAGTCCTTCTTCTGACACTCTGGGGAACAATATCGTACCTTCTGGCACACCGAGCATTCTTTGATCTTCGGTTTCCCTTTCCCTCTGCATACCCGACACTTGCGAGCGTCCGGATCCCGACCCACAGTCTCAAGATAAGACACTGCGAACAAGGGCGAAAGCGCAACCCGGGTGACGTATGGTGCGAATGTCTTCCATAGTCCTACTTTATGCATCCCTTCGACGTCCTTCCCTCTTCCGCAACTACACAGGGGATCTGCTTCCATATCCTCTGTGAGCGGGATGCGGCCTTGAGCGATATATTCGCAATTCGCCCCATGCGTCCAGGAAGACCGGCACCTCTCCACAAAGGCGGGCAAGAGCTGCTTCCATGCCTGCATCTCGCCTTCGAGCACATTAATGTGGATCATTTTCCCTTGGTGAACCAGGCTCGCGAAAGGCTTCTCATTCTCCTTTATTATCCTCACCGTCAGAGGGAGGACATACCCGTCGCAGATGAGTGTATGAGCCGCCAAGTCGTAACGAATTTCATCAATAAAGATGCAGGTATCGCAATTATTTGTCTTCTTATCGCGGAGAGCAAATAGACGATGCACAGTTCCACCTTGGATTCCTGAGGCGCCAACGAAAATGGACTGGAGGGTGTTTTTGACGAACATGAGCGTGTCGGTCTGGTGTTTCTTCCTGAGTGATAGTTCGCGAGCGGACATGATGGAGGCGACGTGGGGGTCGAGCCACTCCTTGACGTTTCTCGCCTTGACGTCAAGGATAGGCAAGGCGGACAGATTAACCCGATGGATGCTCCATGTATGGAGCAGTCCTTTCGAGTTGATGACGGGAAACGGATTCAGCTTCATTCCATCCGGCATGAGTGATCTGGAGGTCGGTACAACGACCTTATAAGGCAGAAACGGTAGTTCAGATGCAGGATTTAAGAATCAGTGATAAGTATGTACGTACCTCAATATATCGTGACTTCCGAGCGAGGCGCAGCCGATGCGCACTGCCTGCGACGGGGAAAGGATACACTATATCCTGGGTTCGGTCACCCAGTGCAACTCTGATGATACATGGCGAGAGCTGCGTGATTTGCGGAACGACTTTGCCGCCGGCTTCACTGAACAGCCGCGCAGAGTCCTCGTTGGTAATAGACACCCGTGCGGTCAAAGACGTGATCAATTCGCACTGTTCATCCAACTCGACAGACGCAGTCCCAGATTCGCCGATCTGAGACAATACACCTGGCTCTGTACGGCCTAATGATTCGGAGGGATATCTCGAGGGCAAGGGGTGTTCGGGGAGGACGTGAACAAGGGTCTTGTCCATCAATTTGGCGCTAAATACACGGAGAGTGAGACCCAGCGTCTTGATGAGGGTTTTACATGCAAGAGGCGTATTGCGAACGCCGAAGCCGATGCTGAGCTGCTCTGGGGGCTCTGCACAAAGAAGCCAAGAAGGTGCAACGAACGATGCAACAAGCGATGAGCTTCCTGCCCAACCACTCGTATCCTCTTCAAAGATAACATGTGGACGAGATTTCGTTCCCATGGGAATCGCTCGTCCAAATGCAACGTGTACGGCAGTGAATATGTTATGGTTCCGCATACCAAAAATGTCGCACTGCAGCGGTGGAGAGCCAATTTCCTCGGGCTTCGAGTTTTTTAGCACAGAAAGTTTCTCGCGGGGGACGACGAGAACAATGCGCACAAGGCCAGGGACTGTGTCCCAAAGTGAAAACCGTCCGATCTTCGGAGTAGGCATATGGAAGAACGGGGCCTTATACACACCGTGCCGATGTAACTGCCCACAAAAATCTTGGTAGTGCAGCGTGTCCATTGACTCGATCGACCAAGCGGCGAGTTGGAGCGACATGAACCGGTCCATAACACGAGTCCATGAATCCTCAGAGGGCTGAAGCCTACGGCGGATGAGCTGCAACAAGAGGACGAAGGATTCTCGACTGTAATGCGCAAGGTTCGAGACTCCAACTGCTTTGTACACGTTCTTCTGGTTGGCAGCCCAGAACGTCTTTGAGGTCTCTTGCTCGAAGAGGGACTGGTAGATGTCATAAAGCAAGGTCCCCAGCTGATGTTCATCAAACACAGGAGACGAGATATAGGCCGCCTGGGAGGCAATTGTATCTCCGGAAGTGGGTGCTTTCCAAGTTGTAACCTGTTGAAACTGCGATATATTTGTTTCTTGTTTCGACTGCCTGTGCATAATCAGCTCATGCGTGTTGGATCGACTGGAAAATCCACAGAGAAAATCAACTGGAGATAAACCGATGAGAAGACCAATGACAGAGAGGTCAGCGTGGAGATGCTCTGTGAATTCCTTCGTCGCGGAGTCCTGCCCAAGGAAAAGAAGTGATTCGGTATATAGAACACTGGATGGTTCACGCGAGAGGAGGGGTAAAGATGTAACGAGGACGTTCAGCAATCCGATGTGATCCTCCAGGTTAGATGTGTGGATGACATTGAAGTTCACGGGAGCTCCACCGGAAGCAGATGTATAGTACTCATCTCCGCTGAGCTGTATTAACTGCGTCTTCCACTGTGCCACGGGGACGCCCGAGTTGAGTATGCCCACGTCACCAAACGCGCGAAGCGCACGGCAAACGGCGGTAGCTTCGCCGACGAAAAAGCGGATGATGGGCGGAGAACTGGAGGATAATGAGTCGAGATAAGAGGAACACCAACCCGCAAACTCTTTATTTGCCGCCTTCACGACTTCCGCCATAGATACTGCAGATTTCGCGTTGCCGAATAAAGCAGCAAGATGGAAGAGATTCAAGGGATCGGTTCCATAGTGGACCGAGCAACCTTCTCCGCCCAAAGAATAGACGAAGGTCGGGTTCAGTAATGTCGCAGCGGCAATTCTCTTTCCGTCGACAAAGGTTACACCTGTCTTCCAATAGTTTCTGAAGTGTTCCGGAATGATCGTGAACCCGCGGAGTTGAAGAGGTCCCAGGGAACGAGTAGCCGTGTTTGTGCCTTCCTTTGAGTTCTTTTTGGATAGTCGGTCAAACGCATCGCGTATGGGTGCGAGTCGCGAATTCGGTAACTCTTCCATGCCAACATATAGTGTCCAATGACGTCTGAGTTCTTTGAGCGTGTAGTCGGTAGACATCTTGATATATGACGCGTATGGGGAGACTTTCCATTTCTGGGCGGTCTCTGAGTGTTCAATTAGCTTCTTGCATTGATCGATGAGGGCGGTATGTGAATCTTTGTCCAAGCGAAAATGGAAGAATATGTTCCAAATCGTGGCGTACGGTCGGCGATCAGCAATCATGGTCAATAACAGCACATTCCGGGCTACGAGGTAAGAGAATTAATCAGTGAATTGGTTGGTGAAAATCGCACTGCGATAACCCATCTACCTAACACGGCTGGATCGAAATCACAGCAAGTGAAGTCCAGAGCGCGGCCAGCTGTATGTGGGACGGACGATCACTTCATCAGCATATCTCGGATGACGCAGTGAAAATACGAACAGTTTCGAGGCTCGGTGAAAATTGTATGCAGAACGTTGCGTGGGTCACCACAACCCAAAAGTAAGATACGGGCAGGCTCTTCCAGGGTAAGATCTGCAGTCAAAGATACCGCGCTCGTATTTCCTATGGCGTAGAAGAAGTATTTGGATGGCCAGACAAGTAGATTAGCCATCGTCGACACAGAGAGATGAGCGCCTGTTGAAAGGAAGGTGTGTCAACATCGAACCACGCTTCGTTGGGTCAGGTGACCTTCGGGCCGAAGAAGTGGTCTCAAAGGTTGTCCACAGCGCACCTGCCAGGTCCCTTAGCTTCGGTCAATAGGTCAGTAAATAGCATAGAGCGCAAAAAGGAGGATCTGACGCGCACAGATTCAAAAATCAACTGGAAGGTTGGATACCGGCGGTAGATATAGCATGTGCCCTAGGCTCGACACAGTGCAGATACATTCTCCCATTGATTGTCATATCGGCCTCCCTGCTCTGTGTCCTGTAAGCCCTGATAAAGATCGCCCCATCTGAAAACGAATACCAGATGAACCAAACTTGCCTTGACCAGAATATACACGGAGAGCGTCTTTGAGTTCGACGGGATCTTCGTGAGCGCCCATCCTGTCAGAGTCTGTGTGTCCAAAAATGCTAAAGCATTCACAATCGCACCCTGGTGGGCTGCGGGCGGTAGAGATCGGTTTGAAGACGTCGTGTCAGGCTTCGCGCAAGGAGGCTTTTTAAATGACGGCCTTCCCATGCAAACTTGTGATCATATGAGTCCTTCTTTGCATCTCGCACATCAGTATGCTTCTCCGTGGAACGAAAATAAAACGCACCTTCACCACAATCTGCCCCGGATCCCCCCAGGATGGGCACCATTTCCATCCGCAGCCGGATCTCCTGCGCCGAGGGTGATGCAGATTCCCAATGCTGGAGCGCAAGGTCCGAGAATCCGTTTCTGGAACCCGCCTCTTGAGTTCTAGTACAGCAGGAACTTTTGGAACGCGATATTGGATCGAGTCACTGCAGGATTGAGGGGTGTGAAAGATGGGCAATGGCTGGACTGAGGAAAACGTGGGGCGGTGGGAGCTGCTGTGGTAAATGCATATGGTTCATTGTGGCATCCTGTATTCGTGGCATCCTGTATTCAGATACTGTTAGCCAAGTTCAATAACTTGAATGCAACAGCGGAAGACGACTTGTGATCCGAGTTGCGGAGGTCGGGCCGGCTCGTCCCGCGCCTTCGTCATCCTCTTTCAACTCTCGACCTTCGATATCTATTTTTCAATGTTCTTTCCAAACCGCTTTTCAGCGCGCCGGTACCTCATCACCCAAATGCCATCTCGGCGGCCAAGCAATTCGGATCTCATGCACTGACAAGCCTTACGAACGCGTATCGAGAACATGGGGTAGTTTCTCTCAATGAGGTGCACTGTAAGTATCATACATTCTACCATGTGGACCCCATTTTGAGCAATTAAGCTTTAGCGTCGCCATTCTTGGTTCGAGTTCTGCAATCATTGCACTCGCCGCTTCATGGACTTTTTGCGGAAACCCACCCTGATGAGCGGTGCAGGAACTTTCGATATTTATGCCACGTCGCACATGCACCAAGAGGCTCTCAGGACGTGTGTATCCCATCATGATCATATATCCAAGGTAGCGCTACCCTCTCCCACTGCTCTCCACGATATCACACGTTTTCGCGCAGATCTACTATCTTACCCAATGCGGTTTGAGGCGTATATTGGCGAGAGGCTCTCACGAAGGGACGAACAGGCCGTGGAACTCGGTGGAGTGTCGGGCCTCGACACTCCAACACTGTGGGATGCATGTTTGGTTGTGTTTGGCAAGGGCTTCGGAGTAGGTACACTGTTTGTAGGCAGACATTCCCATCATCATCATCATCATTCACCTCAAGCATTGCGACCGAGCTCCGAGGAAGCATTCCCATCGGGTCACTCGGCACCTCTCCATCGGTCTCCGAATAATTATGTTAGTGCTCCTTGTTCTTCTGTAAAATTGCAAAGAAAATGTCCAACATAGAGGGAAAATGGGCTCCCCAGTGGCTAAAGGTTTGGAGGTTCGGTTCAGTCTGAACCTGTTCTCCAGAAAATTTCTGGAGCGCGAACCTGAAACTGAACTCGAACTGAACTTTGCGTTCGGTCCAGAAGGTTTCAGGACCGAACTTCGGCAACGCTAGTTGCCGGTGATAGGCGCCCTGAACTCGGAGAATGCTCAACATTACAGCCGTTTTCATAACAATATATGGCAACAGGGATCAGCCAGCTTCAATATCACAGCTAATACCAATATTTGTACACTGCCGATTGATATGCCGAATCTAATTAAAACTATTCCACAATATAATATTGATATCGCCCATTAAATATTTCGTTCTGTCACAATTTCCTATCGGTTATCGCCAAAGTGAAAGCGCCGATTTGGATTGTTTCCCATATGATGTACATCTCGTATCTTCATTGAAATAGGAAACTTTGCGATTGAACTACCATCTCCTACCGAAACCTGCTTCCCTTCTTCTCCTAGTAACATTGGGTCTCAGATCTCAGATCTCATCTCTCAGTGCCCGTTCTGTCTGCCCGATAGCAAGAAGGTTCGCATCACATCGCGTCACCTCATATACCTCTGATGAACACTCTTCAGGTCGCCGCAGGTCCAGCTGTGTGACGCAGCTGGACCTTCTTTCTCAACTCACCAACAAAGACGGTTTTCAAGAAGCTCTTCGTGAAACTTACTGACTCTGAGCGATTGCCTGAGTCACCTGACACCATTCGTGATGGCGAGGAGGCTAAACTACGAGACAAGACAATTCCTTGCATCAAGCGGAAGGTGCAGTGGACTCTCAGGTGGATCTCGGATGAAGAGTCAACATTCGCTCGTCTGGTGGCATTTGCAGCTGACATCTTCTCTGGCTCCATCGCATCCTTCTTCTTGGACGAAGCAGCGAGGACTCATGTATTCTGATATTCCAGGGTTTCAGAGAGGCGGAGCTTAACGCCACTGTAAGATTCTTCGCGATAACACCTAGGGTATATTTCCATGAATGGTCATTGCCACCCTCTCATTCGCTGAGCGCTCACCGGTTTCATAGGTATCACGAAGCCCACTATTCGTCGTCTCGCTCGTTGTGGAGGTGTGAAGCATATTTCTATGTCATGGTACTACTGTTGAAATTTGACGTGTCCAATAATTCACCGTCCCACCGCCAACCCAATCTCGTCAATCCGAAGCATTCCCACATCAGCTCAACCACTGCCTCTATATCAATGGGAAACTGTGCATTGGAGGAGTTGCGTGTTACGTCGCCCGTCCACTCGTCCTCCCTCGCTGATGACGCATGTTCGACAGTTCTTCTTGCCACCACCAACTCAGGCATCGCCAATCCAGATTGTTGCACGTTTGCCGCTGTCTGTCTATCAAATGTTGGAGGAAATACACAGAATGTATGTAGTGTAGGACTGTAGTGGCCTGAACTGCTGCTCCTTGAGGTAAGTATCTGTAAGTAGATAGTACATTTGATGTTAGTAGGTTTTGGTAAAAAGTTTCCTATTTCAATGAATTTAAAGATACGAGGTGTACATTGTACAGGAACCAACATGAATTGGCACTTTCCCTTTGGCGATAACCAATAGGAAATTGCAAGGAAATTGTGACAGTATGAAATATTTGATGGACAATAAAAATATTATATCGTAAAGTAGTTATAATTAGCTTCAGCATATCAATCGGCAGTGTACAAATATCAGTCTTAGCCGTGATATTGAAGCTGGCTGGTCCCTGTTGCCATAACGATAGGCCTAATCTCGACCAAATACACGTACAAGCGGAATCTAAAATTGGACATGTAAGTTGTCGGATGATGACTCTATTTAGTATAACTGTAGATCTATCGTGCTCGTCATCCCTGAAATATATGCTGATTTTTGTGGACATGATTAGAATTCGAGGTCCGACTGTATCTGTAATTTTGAACTTTTGGCCTATCGTTATGAAAACGGCTGTAAAATTCCACTTTCCCCCTCACTTTTCAAGATCAAATTTTTGTGGAGACCAAGTATTACGGTAGGTGGGAGCGCCGCGGTTCAATTTGATTTCTGATTTCTTGGTTGAACCGCGGTGATGGAGCCCTAACCCGAACCTATGTGCAGATTTTGACCCATATAGGAGGTCACGTGACCTACACGTAGAGTATTTGGTTGATTATCTTTTCCATGTACAGATGCATCGCCGCGCGAGGATATACAAGAGGAGACACACACACACACAGATGAGGAGAACGACACATCATGTGAGAAGCAACACACCAGGTAACAATGTGTTGTTCTCAAGTTGTTCTTTGAGATTTCGCTTGGATTTCGCATTTTTGCGCATAAATTCGAAACTCTGCCACAAGTGATGATCGATAATCCCATGTCACTGGTTGTCACCTGTCAACATGTCACGACCGCTTTTTCATCATCACCACCACCGCCATTTGCTTGCCTGTGCCCCAGCCCTCACGGCCTCTTCCTGCCCACCTTGCACCCTCGCTATGACTGACAAGGACCAAGAAAACGGTTGCGGGCCCCTTCAGGTGAGCCCCCACTCTGTTCAGCCCCATATTTGCTAACAGCCCACCACCACCTCCTGCCTCCCCGCCCTGGCGAATGCCCACCAGGGCACTCCTCCCACCTCGCCCCACGTCGGCTGCGTCAACCCGACCACACATACCTCGCTTCAAATGTGACGAGAACCGGCCCACCCCGTGCCATGGCAAACATGACCACCGCCCCTATGTCGACCCCCTCGCAAACGCAACCCTTGGATTATGACTAACCGCCCATGAAAACGCCCGAAGACCCATAAAACTGCCATCTACCCACGCCGATGGAATCGGCCCACAGAATGCCCCTACAGATGGAATCCAGCGCTGAGGCCCATCGATGAGGACCCACACTTGGCAAACCAACAGGGGATACAGCACCTACCGTGCAGCCAGGTGCGTACCCCGTGCCTCCCCACTAACCAGCCCCGAATGACAGTGAAAACGCCGGCACCCTCTGCAATGAGGCCAACACCACGTCCCACTCGACCACGGCCGCCTGGACCACATGTTGACTCCCAGATGCGCCCAAACTTGGCTGTCGACAGTGAGGATTCTTGGTGGTACATTCCGGGGTCTCGGACTCCCTCTCTTATAATTTAAGTATAATTTGATGTACATATAGTAGTTTAAGGAATAAAATTTATAATCCCATTAAATCGTAGATGACTGTCATCACTTCTCCACCTCGGCATGAGCTGAGAAAACTTTTCCTTTTTTTTATCTCATGAAAAGATGTCAAAATCTGCACACAGGTTCGGGTTAGGGCTCCATCACCGCGGTTCAACCCAGAAATCAGAAATCAAATTTCGAAATTGAACCGCAGCACTCCTGCCTACCGTAAAGCATCGTGAAGCTTGAAATTCCGTTGAGGGGAGTGCGGGAATGTGTGAGTGGGACGCGAAGAATTGAGTTTGACAGGCTCATCATATGACTCCAGCTCTGACAGCTCCGCACATCATGGAAAGCAAAAGAATGAAGCGTGGCCGGAAGATGTTCACATCTCCATTTAAGAATTTATCTCCTCTTTTTCACCTCTTCCGCCAATCCGAACCCCGCCCAACTAAAACTCCTCCGCTCTAGCCCCTCGCCTTTACATATCTGTTCTCAACCCCCAACTCGCCAACATGTCGTCAATTGGAGAGATTATTGCAGAGCTAAAGGAACTCACGGCCTATGTGGGCACCATGAGGCTGGTGACAGTGCGTAATACTCCGCCAAATTTGTGCACTCCTCAAACTGACGACCACAGTACTTTGACGGTAGGCTCCTTTGAAGACCCAACCAGCGGGCAAAAACTAACTTTATGCACTTCTGAAACGCAGTCGCTGGAGCAGCGATGTTCTTGTACGACTACTTCTTGGCCATTGGGATGGAGGTAGACCTGGTGTGGTCGTCGAAGTGGAGATTTACGAAGGTCTTGTACATCCTTCAACGATACCTCCCCTTCGTCGATGCAGCTATACTTTGCTTCCTCCGTGAGAGAAATATATATTAAACGCACTACACCTGCTGATTCCTTCCGTTCCAGATCAATTGTCAAGAACGATCAGCCCGTCCACTTGTGACGTGGTCGAGAAGCTCCGGGGTTGTACGTGGAACGGCATTCTTATATTCACCCCACCTCATACCCTTTAGATCTGATCATCACTGGCATTTGTTTATCAGAACGTCTGTCTTAGATTTTCTCTCTCCATTTGGCTCGAATTAACTTATTTCTGTGAAGTGATATTAACCTTACACACGTGGGTGGTGTGGAGGCGTGATGGGCATTTGGGCACCGCTCTATCTATATTGTTCGTCGCCACGGCTGTGAGTAGCTACGTGGTCCAAAGTCTTTTCCTGCGAGGTCTACAATGTAAGAGTTGGCTATGCATAATCCCTTTCATACTTCACGTCCACTTCCCCAGTTACCGACAGACTGTATCCCGAATTTCAAGGTTGTTTCATTATGGGATCTAACCGCATGGTGTACATTAATTGGGTGATTTTGATGATATATGAAGCTGGTAAGATTGCCCAATAACCATTCATGGCACTCCGGTGACCTATAATCTCCTATAGTGATTCTAGTGCTGATGGTTATTCCTGGTGTTAAAACATGTCCATCCTTACTTCTGGATATGATCAACTACCTCATTAGACCTTAGATCGTTGGGGAGAGGATGACAGTTTTCACACAGTTGTGTACCGCGATGATAAGTTGATGACCTCTTTCTATCATCTTACGACTAACGGAACTACCAGGCACGATGTTTTATATCTACCTCTTCAGTAAAAAAAATGACAGACCTACTTTATCTCAATTTTCTCAACCTGACATGTAGTGCTGTCTACGATCAACGTCATCGTAGTCACCACTCTTTCCGTAAGTTTGTTTGTTCGCACTCTGGGGTGGAAAATGAATTGACATGTTGTTTAAGGAAAACTACCTGGACATGCTTTCATCATATGTGTCCCCTTGCTCGGTATGAAGAAGTATCATGAAGCTGATAACCCCTTACACTCAGTGTGGAATGATGCCTCCACTCCATGTTAACAAGTAGGGTTGTTCTTAACATCAGAGATTATGTTAGGAATGCCCGTCCTGCATGGTCAGACGGCCTTACCGATATCCAGGTCAATTCCGGCGTTATTCGACACCGGAAAATGAATTCAACAGACAACTCTGACGATATGATTCCATAACTTGGCTACCACTTTGAAGTGTATATAATAGAGATATCTACTCGATCAGATAACTTTCTCAATTTTCAGCACATACTGGCGTTTCAGCTGGTATTATGGTGAAAAAAGTCTTCGGTATGGCAAAGCACACAAATTACAAAGGGATCGGAAAAGATGGGCCGAATGTATGGGATGCGCATAACGTAAGGATGATTGACGTTGTAGAGAGTACGTCGATGGAAATAGATAGTAGAATGAGTGTTGTTTGACCTCGTAGAGGTGGGTTGGGTACGTGCTGAATGGTAGGTGACGATGACCAGTGAGAGATGGTCGAGAAGAGAGAATTCGGTCTATGGGCGAGGAATTTTGACAAGAGAAGCATGATTACTTTGAGAGACGATACGATTTGCGGGAGGTAGGAGAGTTACATAATGATATGATCTTCTGATGAACATCACGGGCCCAAAATGAGACAGACCACAGTCATGGGCAACTAAGCTTGGACCTGTGCCCTTGCCAGCAGTGTGCGACACTTTTTCCATATACTTATCCCACCCTTGGCTGTAGGCCTATGCCTTATTCCCTGGGATAATGCAGTTTTCCCTATTACTCAGGGAGTGCCTGCACCCAGCTGGGTCTATGCAGGTCATTCTGGTTTCTCATTTTACTGTATTTAGTTGAAATTAGTCTCCCCTTCTGGAATACAGATAATATTTTGTCCTTTCCGTTGTTTTTTTATGCTCCTGTTATTCCAGCATCAGTGGAAATTGATGGATTCATCTTGTATGTCGTGGCCTTAGAAGCAAACAATATCAAACAATCTCCCATTTTGGAGCTCTGATGGTTTTTCGAATCTCCCACTTGTTCCTCCACTATAGAAGTTGAATAAAATATATCAGATATATGTTGACATATTAATGCTTGTTCTTGAACACTTTCCGCCTCCGTCGGGGGGAAGTGATTGATGGATTGGAGGACCAGACCTAGTGTTTGAAAGTTAGGTTAGTTAACCGGAAAATAACCGGAAAATAACCGGATCTAACCGCAACACTAACCTAACCGTGGTTAGGGTTAGTTGATTTCGAAAATGGAATGACCGGTTATTTTGCGGTTAACTAACCGTTAAATAACCGGTTATAACCGGTTATAACCAGCCCTATTATACACCTTCAAAACGCACTTTAGAACGTCAAAAACGCTTAAAATTTGACTAAGTTACGGTCAAATCTCTAAAATATCACTCAAATGTGTAGACTTTCAAGGATAATTGCATAAATATGTCAATTCTTCACCGATTTTAGCGTTCTTGGGCTCGTTTTAAAGCTAGAATATGCAGAAATAATATCTATCAAGATACATATGAGCATATTTGCCTTGTTATAACCGATTCTTTATTTTTCGGTCCTAACCGGTTAGTAACTGCAAATAACCGACCGTAACCGGTTAGTTGCGGTCCGGTTAGGTTATTTTAGGTTTCGGGACAAAGGCTAACCGGTCTCGGTCTCGGTTAGAGCCCCTGGGCACCCAATAACCGGACCTAACCGGACTTTCGAACACTAACCAGACCTTGGATGTCATAGCCTTAGAAATAAACAACTGTAAATAACAAGATATATTCAATGGGGACCAAAAAAACACTAATCCTCGTCGCATTCCGCCAGGGATTCAAGCACAGGGTCAATGCCACACCCAGGGCCTTCATTGGCTTCATCCGTGCTCACTATAGGCGTCCACGGCGTGTCCCACAGGCGTGTAAACCGTGCGTGCAGGGCTCTCTGGATGCTCGCCTGCCGGCTTGCATACGCCCTTACTCCCTCCCCCATTGGCTTATCCAAAGCTTGCCAGCCAGGCTGCCGAGCATCCCACCACGATGCTTTCCACTCCAGGGTTTTCCGAACCCTCCGCATCTCTTCCTTGAGCAAGTGGACTTCTTCTGTCCAGTGCAAGCACCGTGCACGGGCTTTGGCCCATTCAATCCGCACCGCTGGCAATTAATCAGTGGTTGTAAATCCTGTCGTATTGACGGCTGCTTACCTTCATGAAGCACGGCGTCGTCATCATCGCCAACCACCCCTACCGTAGTCCAGATCCATGAAACGGTCTTCTTTCCTTGCCCCAAATCCAGCCGCTCTGCCTTTTGCTTCTTCTTCGACAATGTCCGACCGTCAGGGCCCACTGTGTCACCTGGGATCTCGATGCTGATCTCTCGACCATCTGGCGTTGTCAGATCCCCATGCATCAGCGGCCGCAATTGTTTTTCCCAACTTCCTGGACCCTGTAACGCAAGCAATGCATCTCTCGCCGCCATGTATTTCACTGCCATGGCTTTCGTCTTGTCCTCAAGTCGGTCAAGGGTCTCCTTTGCCCTGGTGTTGGGGTTCTGTCCATGAATGTTGCGGTTGCGGAATCCGATGAAAGACAGCCGCCCACGTTGCAAACTGCGTATCCTGTCCAGGGCGTCGTGACACTGCGCCTCACGCAAATTGACTTCGATTTCGACCAAGTTCGCGTTGCAGTTGTGTTTACAATGGTCGGCAGGAAGCGACGAGGGAAGCCAAAGAAGCTGGAATTTGGCTTCTGATGACCTGCGGTTGGCTTCGGGTAGCGCCTGCTGGGATGCCTCGTCTGTGGCAGCTGGCATGTAGATAGCCTGTAGGTTACGGAACTGCTTGACGTGGTGTAGAAGTAGCAGATGACGGCGCTGCAGCTCATTATCCTGGTTTGTCGTGAGCTCGGCTGAGTGCCTAGAATCCCAAATAATCCGCCGCCTAGATGTTTGTACACAATTAGCATATATATTTAATGAGGAGCAGAATAGATGGCTTACTGAGATTCTTCAACAACCAGGCCCATTGAGATGAACCCTGTAGGCCCGGTATCGTGTAGTTGAGGCACGCCAGCAGTCACCGCGCGCTTTTCTTCCTCAAGAAGCTGTTTTTTCACTTCGGTCTGGGAGGCATCTAAAACCACTCAGTTAAGCATTTACTTGATAAGAGATGGCGATAAAACGTACGGGTTACCACCGAGATGTACGGATTCGGCTTCTTTGGGTCTTTCTCCCACTCTAAGACCATCTTCAACCATTTATCCTCCAGCCCGTTCTCCTTGAGCGATGAACAAAAGTCGTCGAAAATGGCTTGTTGACGTTTTTGTTCAGGTATCGCAAGAGTTAAGCGGCTATGTAAGGTCCTTCCTGAAAATGTAGTCAGCATATAATCGATCATCGAAGCTCCATGAATTACTTACCGAGCGAAACATACTTCCTAAAGTTGTGGTGCTCAAAGTGGTCATCGAGTGTGTCGTGCCGTGACCCGGGACCCATTTCCTTCGTACTATTCACGACAGGTAGTGTTTAAAGGTTCAGTTCAGTCCGGTTTTTTGCCCCGAAAACGCGCAACCGTGGACCGCAACCGGTCCAGGACCAACCCAGATATTGAGGGAACCGAACCGAACCACCTAGGACCGGTCTTTTGCGGTCCATGATACCGGTTCAGACCGATCCAGACCGGTTTTTTTGCATATAATTTATTATACCAATATAAACCATTTGTATCTCAACCATTATTACTCTGAAAAATAAACGGGTTATATAAAATAGTAAAGCATATAAATACGCGTCATTCTACCAATTTTCAAGAGATTTAATGAAGATTTGACATAGCTATGACTGAAACCGAATTACATCTCATAGAGACTCGGGTAAAATATGGATTTGGTTATATCTTTCTCAATTCTTAACCGTTTTTGATGAAACAAAAACCCAATAAAAGGCAATAAACGTGGTTAGAAGGCTATGTAACGCACGTGACCGTTTAACCGGTTGCAACCGATTAAAACCGGTCTTTGAACGGTTTTAAAAGATTTTCGAAATGAGGCAACTGGCAACCAGACCAACCCCAAATTGGGGCAACTGCAACCAAAAAAAAGACCGGACCATGGTCCGGTTCAGTTCGGTCCACCGGTTTTTTGCGGTCCTATGGACTGAACCTTTAAACACTAACGACACGGTTCATCTCGGCCCAGCTCCGTTCAATTCCCTCACCGTCAGTGCGGCCCACACCAGGCTTGAAATTTAGCGAATGGGGCGCCTGGCAAGGCACCTTATGCATGGGGCAGTGACACTTAGGGATGCCCCAGTCGAGCTGTACGTCCGGCGGAATATGTAAACCCTTCGGTAACTTGGGCATTCGTGTTTCGAAGCCAAGCTTGAATTGGCAAGCGATGTCGTAGGAGATGAAAACCGAAGCGACGAGGAGCGGAGCGAGGGCAGATAGTAACACGAAATCCATATTGCAGTACCTAAGTCAGTGGAAATCAGCTCCGGCATATTGGCTCAACTCAAGAGGTACATACCGTTCACCTTTCTGAAGGTCTCCCACGCCCCCAGGGCGAATGATTTCATGTCTAGCGCAGAGGCACATTCCTACGCCGGTTGAGCGTAAACCGGCCGAGAATTGTGTCTCTGCATTTGCCGACATCTTGAAGCCACTGCAGGTGCTAATCTTTAATAAAATCAATACCCGCACAGAGTAAACGAGAGCACTACGTACATCCTTTTGGGTGGCATACTTTAAAATATGTTTTTGGTACGGCGTGTCTTCAGGGAAGTACGCAAACCCTGTATGTAATCCAGGGTCCTTCTTGAGGCTCGAGCACATCAGATTCTTCAAGCGAAAATTCGCGTCCATGGCAATTATGAGCACGTAAAGAAACCTTGAGAAACATTCACTAATCAGCTCGGCTCTACTGAAATAACAGAGATGATGCTTACTTCCATTCTATTCCAACATCTTCCCACTTTTCCGGAAGGTTGACTCCGGGTATCGGGCATGCTGGACAAAGGGTAGCCAGATCCCCGCGAGCTGTACTAGTGATGCCGTGCTTGAAGTTCCCTCGCCCATGGCGCTTCATGAGCTTCAGGTGGCGAAACTCACGAATCATGCGCATGAGGGACTTATATCGAGTCTAACAGACTTGTAAGTGACCGGAATCTTACAATGCATACCAAACTTACCTTAGGAATCTCGAGCTCAGTGTTATCAGTGAGGAACTCGAGGGCCCTGTAGAATTCGTGACCGGAGAGTTTTCCTGACAGCGTAATGACGTGGAAGAGTTCCAGAAGCCGAAATGTTGCGCACGTCTGTGGTTGATGGATTGTCGCGGGAAACCATTCCGCGCGGAGGAGCTGCTACCGATTGGAGATAACCCTTTGGTCGCAGCCACAGAAGTCCACAGCCACGTAGTGGAGGCCATTGGTATGGAGGACTGTGAAGTCCTTGTGGCCAGGCTGGGGTAGCAAGCAAGTCGAATTGATGTGTCCAAGCTGAACTCGCAGCCCCATCGATCTGAGCGAGATCTTCTCAAAAAAAATACCGTTCCACTTCTAAAAGCTAATAAGAACTGAGAAAGTCGGAATGATAGAAACAAACCTGGATGATATGCAAGGGGAGGTGCTCATGACGCTTCAAGCAGCAATCAAGGCACTCTCTCAAATGGCCCATACAATCATCGCAACGGTAGATGCCCCCCCCTGTGCAGCAAGACATACAGTCATCCGTCAACCTGTCTCCCCGTCCCTCTAGCCTCAACATTTCCAACAAATACTCTTCTCGATAACCAGGGTCTTGGGGTGTAGCTCTGGCCCACTCACACAGAGGGGCGTCCTGAACATTGTGAAATTAGTAACAATATGCGGTGGACATGTGAAAACTTACCGAGGTTGGATACCGTTTAGCCGCGACCTTCTCGGCTACAGTTCCCCCTCCCAAATCAAGAGTCGTCTCTTCTACGTTGTCGTATTTGGTACTTGGATTCCACTCATACTGAGGGGATGGACTGCGACGAGCGGCAGATGTAGCTTTTTGTGGAGAAAGAGGGGTTTGAATAATGCGATGTCCACTGTCAGAGATGTGGACAGTCTGAGATTGTGGGATAGATATGTCCTGACGTTCGTCGTCGTCGTCAGAGTCACACACGACAACATAACGTTTGGCCTTGCCCCTGGGCCTTAGTACCTTACCCCTCATGGATGAGAAAAGGTGATATGAACAAAAGACGGCTAGATCAATCTAGATCTATCTATCACGTTATAAGCATTACAAATGGTTTCTAATGTTTAAAGTCACTAATCTAATCAAGTAGCGTTACAAACGGTTTCTAGTTCAAATTACAAACAGTTTGTAAGGCTACAGAGACCGTTCTTTACCTCTCGCATGGAGCCACACATTTCTCTAGGGCCTCCAACGCCGCCAATGCCTCAGGGTCCCATTTCCAAGGTATTTCTAATTTGCTTAGAATCCCCTGCGCTGCCAAGTTCAACTCCAGCACCCAAACAGGTTTCTCGGGCTTTGGACCATCCTCTTTAGTCGCGAAGCTCCCACACATCCAGGAGAGCTTCCTGCGCATCCACTTCGAAGCGGTTCAGCTAGCGTGCGCAACACACAATGAATGAGTGAACTTGCCTTACGACGCGCTTCCCGAATGTATTCCTCGTAAGCTGGGTCATCTTTGAACTCTTCATTGACGAAAACCTCCTCATCTGCAGGCTCAGGAAAGCGAACCACACCAAACAAGCGCGAGACATATAAGCAGTGACTTGGCCCTCCTTGGAAGCAGCAACAAAGCTAGGCAAGAGCTGCTTCAAAACATCTTTTTGCTCCCACTTGCGGTGCCGTTTCGCGGCAGCAATCTCGTCTAACTTGGCTTGGGCAGCGATCTAACGATCGATCTCATGTCAGGGTCCGGTGCCATTTGAAATTCAACACAATCATACCTCACGGCGCCTTTTGCCAAGATTGTTGCCGGTGTCGACGAACTTGGGTTTGTAAGGTTTGGGTTTGAGCGAGCGCTTGGCCATTTGGGATGGACGATGGGGGTTTTCGACAAGGCGAGTCTTGACTACATGCTGAGTCGAACTTTATTTTTGTGGCTTAATAACTATACAGGCGACCTCAGACCAAAATCTGTGGGTTAATCCACATCAGCAATAAACAGACAAGTAGGTAAGTAGGGTCGTTCAGATAGGTACAAAAGAATAAGATTTGACTAGATACAAACTAGATAACCACCTTGGCGCCCTCAGGACAGATCTGATAACCGAAAATGCCGCTGGAACACCAATCTGCGATGTCATCGACGGAACTCATTGCCTGCATATGGATCTCCTCAACAAGGCTCACAACGTGCCTGATGTCGCGGGCTACCATGTCTGCTTTTTTCCAGATGTCTCCGCATCCATAAATTTGCAATATATCTCCGAGCACCCCCTGAACTTCCATCATAAATGCATTCCACTGTTCCTCCATCAACGCGCAGAAGCCCAGGGCCTCTTCAGGGTTGGCGATGCAGTATTGGGCGATCTCGTCGAGATACGTATACAGAGTGCCATGTGTAAGTTTCATAAATTGTTCTTTGGCCTTCTCCATAAGCCACAATGGATCACATCTAACCGTTGAATGTCAGAACTTGATGCTGATAGAAAGCGGAGGAACCGGATGAACGTACCTTTCGGAGACCTTGGCTGTAGTACTGCTATCCTTCCTAACAGTCTGTAGTTTCTTTTTGTATTTACGATGCGATCGGCGATTAATTTGAACTCGATGCCTACATTTGCGGAGGTCAGAATAACAAAAATATCACGAAACATAGAGCTACCCACTTTTCATAGTATTTTTTAGAAGTAGCACGGCATGCGGCAGCCTTCTCTTCAGGTGTCTTGTAGAGCGTAGGACGAGGCATGTCGTGTTGAACGTAGCACAAGACTTGATAGCTGTGCTATTAGGCGCACGTGGTCTGTTCAATTCTTACGACTTTTTCTTTCTACCTCAAGCAATTGGATGATTCATACAAAAGTAAATAGAGGGTTAGAAAGTGGAATCAAGCACCGTTCTAACGATGTAAAAAAAAAAATTAAACTGTGGAGTGCGCCTGTGGCAGGAGCCAAAGTCGCGGAGTTGAGGCAAAGCGCTAACAGGAGTCTTAGATGAAGGCTCGAGTTTCATCTGACTTTTACTCAATCTAATTGTACAGTTAAAAACTTTGAACTATAGGGTGTATTGAAGTAGCATGGGTGCATATCCAAAATATTTAAAGGTGGGGAGGGATATTGAACCGTCAGCGCAATGTTTAATATATGTTTTGACACTTCAAGGAGATTAACCCCTGAACTTCAGCGATGGACAACAAAGTCAACGGAAGTCAAGAGCATTGCACTATCGAGTGTATTGTAACACTGCGAGGGTGTAACTGATATAGGTTAGGGTAGGGATGGATATTAGTGCCGCATTGTAATGTTTGAATTGTGTTTCGAAGTTCGGAGATCAACCACATACGGATTTTCAAATCAAACCTGAGTACTGAGTACTGATGCTTAGAACGAAACAGTGTGGTAGGGGGGGGTGAATGGTGATGATATTTTGGTGCAAAAAACATGTAACAAAATCGACTCGACTACACTACAACTACACTCCTAAGTCAAATACAATGCAAAGTAGAGGTAATTGCCGCATTCATCCTGGCGTGGCCTTCAGCCATACTCGCAACACGACTAAAGACGGCGTGAGAGACACCCGTGACAAGAGGGGATGTATTTTCCCTGTTCCGAATGTGGTTAATAAGGTAATCTTTCGACAGAGGACGTGATAGCATACCAGCCGTTGAATACACCAACGTTGCGGCCGCAAGTGACCACATAAAATGGGCCCTCGGCATTGGCGGCTGGGACATGATATCCGTATGGCAAGGCGTGGAGGTGTGCGGGAGGCAAGGTGGCATTGGCCGGCGCATTCACTGGAAGAGTGTTATAAAGTGGAGCTGCAACAGGTGTGGCTCCAGCGACAACAGCTGCTTGGACTCCCACAGCGTTGGCGGTGGGAGCTGCAAGGTTGGGCGAGGCGATTGCAATGGGAGCTGCTGCGACAACTGGGGTAAGGGAGACGACATTGAGCGGGGTAGTGGCAACTAAGGTGGTAGAGCTGGCAGGGGTGGGGTTTTCGCTGTCACCAAAATCTGAGAGTGAAATGATAGAGGCCGCGCTGGTGTCCGAGAGTTGATTGTCGTCCAAGGCGGCGACTGTGGGAGAAGCGGTAATTATGGAGTCAGGAGATGTGATTGAATTGGTCGATGCGAGATTCGGCGAAGGACTGCTATTGGCAAGTGTTACCAGCGCACGAAGGATCTCTCATGCACCCTCTGAGGTGATGGAAAGACGGGCAAGAACATCTTCAAGGTCTGAGAACCCGTCGCCGTCAGTGTGGGAAGAGAAAGAGGAACGTTCGAAACTTACCGCCTACCGATGATGGGGAACCGATCGGTGCTCCATCATTGGGTAGCTTGGCCATTGGAAAAGTTTTAGCTCGTCAAAGGTTGAGTTGGATGGTAAGCGAATGGGGGGAGTCAGAGAAGGGGATTTGGCGTCGAACGCGCCTTTATCTAGAACGAGAACCCTTCCCACCTATGTAATAAGACGTAAGAGCCGATAATGAGCACGAGCCTCGCGTAGACCCAGATCGATGTAAGTACGTACCAATTTTTTCCCGAACTCTCTCTGCCCCAGAAAGCAAGATGGACGATAATGTTGGCAACATTGACAATGTTGAAGAGTAAGTCTAAAATTTAAAACACTAACGTGATGTTTTGATCTGATATCAAACATCCAGGGTCGATAAAGAAGCACTCTTGCGTGTTTTGAAGCGTAACTGGGCAAAAGGCGCTCGCCTTGCTTTTCTAGAGAGCTACATCGACGACTACAAAACTGTGCTTTTGTTGAAAAAGGCTCCCGGGGTTCTTGACGGCATCGTCAATGCATGGTTCACTCGTTTTCACTGGACAATCCCCCTCTCCGCCGAATCTGATCTGCCCAAGACGACCCTACCTGTCGGTCCTGATGGATGCGAAATCTTATCGAAAGAAAATAAGAAGTTGAAGGCTGAGGTTGTTGAGCGCACACGAACTGTACATATACTCAGGAACACCTTAACATTTGAGTATTGACGGTCATTTCAGTCACTCTACGGCTGGTTCGAGTACCGGTGTAAGAAGACTGTCAAGCTCCCACACTGCGGAGGCAAGGACCCAATGTCCATTCTCGTATCGAGACTCTTGGGTCATGACAGTACCCCACCGAAGCGAAGCGCGCCATGGGAGGCATGGGCCAAGGTGCACTTTCCTGAAATGAAAGCCACCTTCGACGCGGAGTTCAAGCAGAGCGGAAAACCCAAAAACTTACTTGCCTCTGCTCGCAATGAGTTCAAAATGGCGGCATTCAAACGACTCGACGATGCCGAACGCCAGCACTGGGAGGAGATAGTACAGCAGGAACATCTTGAACACAAGAAGCACCTCGAAAATTTGGAGGGAGAGGAGGGGCTGATGGATCCTGAGGCTGCTCAAGAGTATGTACATTTAATTTGACAACGGCTGGCTCGCGCCGACTGATACTCTTCAGAGTTCTTGATCGCCTTCCTAACCTTTTGGGACTGCTCATTCAGATCATAGGAGAGGCGATCGGCATGAACTTGTCGGTGTTGATTGGGGGACCTGAGCCGAAGAAAAAGGGTCAGCTGAACATAATTGGGTACGTTGTGTTTTCATCACGAAACATTCACGCGATTGAGCTTTGACTAGTATCCACCATGGTTGTAACCTCGCACCGTCACCAAAGCTTTGGCCCTTCGCCGAGAAGGAGAAGTGGGATGTCGCTAAGCGAGCGTTTTTGGGTTTTGTTTCGACCTGTTACAGTAAGTCTCCTATCGCATGTTCTTTTGTCATTGCTAACTATCTACAAGCTATGGAACAGCAACGCGCACGGGCACTCATTCCATCCTCTGAACCCCCCACTGCAGGACCATCAACGTCATTCACTTCAGACTCTCCACCTTCATCTACCCCGCCGTCACCCACACCCTTGCCTATGCCCTCTGCCCCGACTTCCCACTCCACGGACTTGAAAACACGACGCAAGCGAAAGGCTGGGAAAAGTACAAAGAATCCGGCAAAGAAGGCAAAGAGGGCACGGATATCAAAGAAGGGGAAGAGCTTGGCAGTTACGTCCAATGGGTCAAATCCATCTGATTCCGGCGCTGAGGAGCCTCCCACCGACGATGAGGAAGACGATGGCAAGAGCAACAACAGCGACGACGGTGACGATGAGAGCGGTGCTGTCGAGGGAGAGGTTCCAGCCCTCAGGACCAGGTCGGGGAGGAGAACTGGCAAGACATCGCATTAAATGCCTCGCATCGATTGGCCTCAGGGGGAGATGGCGGTTGGACGGTTGTGAACAAACACGGGAGGAACGCATTCCTTACCGTGATGGCGACGCTCGTGTGGTGGGCGGAGGGCTTGAAAGATTGCGCTCGAGACCCAGGTTGGGTAGCGGCTGTTGAGGAAGTCATATGGGTATTGGATCAAATGGTTAAAAGGTTTGTCTCTGGTCGTGGATTGTATACAGGAGGAGCTGACAGACAATCCAGCCAAGCCGCGCCCTCAAACTAGTTTACCATTCACACATCGCGTTCTCGAGACCGTCGCTACTCACATCAATCAACCTGGCGAGGGCCCCGCCACTTCAGTTTCTGTCAGGCAAATAGAGCGCCGTGAGGCATGTTCACGAGTAATTTTTTTTGAAACTTGACTTTTCTCAACTGATCTTCTTGCCGTCATATTTCCCTTTTCTTGTTACAATCTTGGACATTCCTCATATATACAACATATCTCTTATAATGTACTTAGTGTATGTCTAATAATTTCTTGGTGTACGAGGGTGACGTCTTAAACTCGAGCATGGATTGGACAAGTTGAACCATCACGTGACAGCACGGCGAACTTCAGCGTAGACGCAAATGCCGTTTTGCATGATCTTCCACTCTAAAATGAGTGCAGGAGGGATACGACGATGGCCTATCCATGTCGAAAATACGTGGTGTGCACGGGTTATGCCGGGAGGAATGGGAGGGCCAAAAAAAAAACTAAAAAAAAACATATCAAATGAACAAAAGCTGAGGGTGATCATTTCGGAACCTAAAAGTGATTGATTAGTGCGGTAGATGCCAGAGAGAGAGACCAAAAGTAAATAAAATAAAAACATAAGAATGCGGAAAACTTATCAAATGATCATTGACATGAGGAAGACATACTGCAGCTGTTTTTGATGTGTGTATCAAAACAACGAAAGGTAAGTACATCAATGGAGATGACACCTGTCTGGCTAATAATAAACTCACGGGAAACATATTTGATGGGAGAACCCTGCAGAAATATATTTATAGAAGAGGGGAAACATGTTTGATGGGAGAACCCTGCGGAAATATATATATAGAAGAGGTAGAACCAGGAACCACGCGGAATTACATTTGATTGCTGTAATTGTATGGATCAAACAAATTCTGGGCGGAAATGCCCATTTTTCCCCCAGTTTCCCCCATGGAATGGAACCCAGACTTTTGGAAATACTGGGTGGAACCAGTGTCTGTGAAATAGGCAAAATGGGATTAATGCACCACATTTTGGTCAATTCTTACAGCCTGGGCTGGGCAAGTATCGGACATATCAAAACCTGATCATACGTTGTGACATACAAAACATTCAACACATATACTTTGATGCCAGGAATGAAGGATCGACATTCAAGAGAGCCCGTCGTCAGAATTACACACAGTCGGCCAACAAGAACCTAGTTACACGAAGAAGGGAGCGATGTGTGCGTGGTATGTGGTATTCTGAGAAGAAGACAGGGAGCAATGTGAGCGTTGTATGTGGTATTCAGGACAGAATCTGGCACGCGATAAGAGGTACTTACTGCCAAACAGTCCTACTTCATCCTCGCCTTCCGATACCATTGGATTAGCGTCAATTCTGCATGATGCCGGTGTTTGCGACAGAGTGAGGGATCGATGAATGTGTCCGAGTCATTCATTGAGCAGATGCGGCGATCAATGTCAAGTCTTGAACGTCGAATGACCTGCAGTAGTAGGGCGGTCGATCTAACGGCTTGACAAATAGAAATGGGAATGAGGGATGAGGGCGCAAATTCCTCGCAGGTTGGTTTCTCAAGCGTTTTAGATGAAGCATCAAGAACAAAGGGTAACAAGACTGACCTCTCTGATTGACTAGAGCTAAATGAGATGCCCGATATGTGTTGACCCCGTCCGGACAGTGGTGACCACCAAGAATGAGCGATATCGGCACATGCCTACTGAAAGTTGTTACAAGCCGGTTCATGATGCCTGTCACGCTGCCTCACGAGTCTTCGCCATCATCCCAAATGCCTCAGAACAGTAGATGTCAAAGACCACTGGTGCAGTGAGTCCTCTCGCTATTCCCATTGACGGAAATGAATCAAAAGATCTAGCTCCCTTGGTCACAAGGAAGCTGTCAGTGGTAGTCCATAGGTGGTCACTGGAGTGGAGTTTTACATACCATAGATACCCCCAGGCGACAGTCATACCCATGTCTGTTGAATTGAGGCTGACGAGGTCGTCGTCGTCAATCGCTGGGAGGTGGCTGGTGGCAACCTTGCAAAAGTCTATTTTTGGCGTGACAGAGCGTGGGAAGTGGCGTGATCACCCCCTCTGAGGTCAATTACCACCAGTCAAAGAATTGGCCTCTGAGGCCACCTAGCGCTTGAGAAGTGCCAGGCCTAAGGTGAAATAACCTGCAATATACTCCAGGAAATCACCTAAGCCTGGCAATGAAAAAACCAGTGAAATGAAAAGTTACTCATCATTCGCTGCTTGCCTGATGATGTCAAAACTATGTACACGTATAATGATGTATCAAAGCCAAATCAAAGCTGTGGTTAAGATAAACAAGGAGGGAATGCAGAGAGAATGGGATGGAGTGGACAGTGGTGCGAACCATGTTTTCTCTTGAGGCTGTGTGGCTGTGCATTATGATTATCTCAAAAGAGTTTCGGTGATGTCCGAAATGTCGGGAGAGCAATTGAGCTAGCATGCTGTGGTTGTTTATCTTTCCCTTGACTAGCGCACAGGATGCACACTCATGAAGAAAGGCCGTCATACAGCAAAGACAGGAGTGCATCTAGGTCAGCTTTCTCTGAAGATGGCCGAGGAGGAATTGAGCCAGTGAGTGCCATTGGAATCCGCGTCAGCCACCAATATGTCATTCTCTGAAATAGACACCACATCTGAGAGCTGGGGTTCGTTACGGTGCGGCTTTCTCTTGTCCAGTCGCATGTGCATCATTGATCTCAAGCCACACACGCAGTGTACTACCGGTTATACACCAAAGGCGGTCCACTTGAATCAATCAACCCCATCTATGCCAACGACCGCTTCGTTGGTTGCATTTTGTCCACATCAGTGAGGCCACCTCACACCGTTGCATCTCTAAAGAGGTATCTATGCAAAATTGAAGACCTAACTACTGAGAATTGTTCTCTGTATCAGTCACTCACAGAAAACACAGCTTTGGAGGATTCTACTCGTCTCTCCCTGTTAGAGGAGACCCCTTGTGACCTCAATATTTACGCTCTTTACCAGTCTTTATCCCAAGCCACCACTTTTTTACTATATAAACCCAAACTCTATTTCTCCTCACCTCAGTCATCATCACTTTGTGTCTGACTCTGAGTTCCATATGACTACAGGTTATGGGCCCCGTTGCACTTTAATAACAGGAACTACAGACACCACTTGCTACTTGCTTTACTATCCCACTTGCGACTCGTAAAGCCTATACTTTCGCACCCCACACACTCCCACAAAAATGTCGTCGACTGCCAACCCAGCTATCTTTTCGGAGACGGAGAAATTCAATGGTAGAAACTTTGCTACCTTCGAAACTCTCATTACCGTTGCAGCCAGCAGCTGAGGCATTCTAGGCTACCTAAAAGGGACTATACTGAATCCAGCTTCCCCCCAAAACACCACTGATTTACACTACACCCCCGTTGCGCCAAACATCCCACTTCCCGACGATCCCACTCCCTGGTACTCCAGTACCCCATCCGGCGCGGAATGGGCAATGCGCGACGCATGGCTGTGCGCACTACTCCTTTACAACACTAAAAATGCCATTGGGCTAGGCCTTAAGCTCGATGGCACCATGGCAGAAGCGTGGACCTCACTCACCTCCCAATATAAAATCTCATCTGACCTCGCTGTTGTCACCACTCAGCGCGATCTCCGCAACACTGTCTTCTCCGAGGGCAACGATTTCCCTACCCACATTTCCAACCTCTGCACAAAATGGGTAACAGCGAACAATGCTGGAGCAAAGATCACCGATGCGGATTTCCGCATGATCATCCTATCCTTGCTCCCACCCTCCTGGGACAGTGTTGTTGGGATGCTATACGAGGCAAAGTCATCTGCGGACGTTATTAGCTGTTTAATGATCCACTGGAGTCGCACAGACCGCTCTAAGTCTGTGGTAAACCCAGCTACCGTCGTAACGGCCCTACAGACAGATGCAAGACGACCTCGCAGCCAACTTCAGTGTGCAAACAGAAATTGTGGACGCCGAGGACATACCATAGACAACTGTTACTGGCGTGGTGGGGGGAAAGAAGGCCAATTCCCCCCAGGTTTCAGACAACGAGGGGGAGCGCAACCCCGAAACACGAACCCATCTACAAATAACTCGTCAGTAACAGCAGCCTTCACCAACACCTTGCCCTCCTCTGAGATAACCCTCGCCCTCGTCTCCAACCTAAACGGTAATTACCCCATCACGAATTCCGACCAAAACGTACCCACCTACGCAGACTCTGCGGCAAATAAGCATTGTTTTGTCAACCGCTCGGATTTTACCACCTACCATGCACTATCCAAACCCGACGAAGGCCAGCCAGCAAATAAAGGGGGACAATTCCGCATCATCGGACATGGCCCAGTCACTAAAACCATCGTATCTGGCCCTCTAAAAATGACGATAACTTTTAAGAACACAGTCCACACACCTGATCTGATCGCCAACCTCATCTCCATCGGGAAACTCGATGAGGTGAACTGCTGGGCACTTTTTGGAGGCGGAGGCATAACTTTCTATGACCTCCATGATGGGCAGAAACAGACGTTAATGAAGGGTATTGGGAGCAATGGGATGTACTTACTCTCCGTTGGGCCTCAAACTACTGGCATGCATGCCCTCGTCGCCCATTCCCTCTCGAAGCCCACCAATCTCGAGGTGTGGCACAGACGTTTTGGACATGCGGGTACACGCTCGATCCTTGATATGGCCAAAAGGGGACTAGTTGACGGGCTCGACATTGTGGGAAGTGTCGAACTCAAGGGAAAGTGCAAAGACTGCATATATGGGAAACAGACGACGTGCCCGTATGACGGAGTGGTTGAACCTGAGACTGAGGTCTTGGAGTGGGTATACATTGACTTGTGGGGGCCTGCTTGTGTCCGATCTGTTGGGGGAGCAGAGTACATGATGGCTTTCAACGATGGGGGATCATCTTACCATGTAGGGTACTTCCTAAATTCAAAATCCGCGGACACCACCCTCACTGCGTTCATGGAGTTCCACGTTAAGTCAGAACGGGAGACTGGGAAGAAGCTTATTTGGGTGAGGGTCGATATGGGGAGCGAGTTCTTCAATGAAAAATGGAGGGAGTACACGGCGAAGCACGGTATCACAGTGGAATTTAGCGCACCCTATGCCCATGGTCAGAACGGGGTGGCAGAACGTGGGATGCGCACTGTCATCGAAAGAACCCGTTGTCTTCTCACCGACTCCGGCTTATCTCCATCTCTATGGGCTGATGCCGCATCCTTCACCATCTACACTGACAACTTGATCCCCTCTGCTCGTCACCCTGGGCGCATACCTGCTGAAAAGTGGACCAACAAACATCAAGACGTATCTCATTTATGGCCTTTTGGATGCACAGCATATGCCAAGATCCCGGAGGAGATAGGTGTGTCGAAGCTCTTGCCCCGATCAATCAAATACGTACTGATAGGGTACTTCGGGCGCGGGACCTATAAATTATGGGATCAGGCATCAGGCACAATGATCAAAAGTCGTGATGTCATCTTCAAAGAAGGCAAAGGCCATTGCACTATCTCCTACAATGATATGCCTGCTCTCGTTGACGTCAACAACGAGGACGACGATGAAACCCCCCAGGATACCAACAATGGCCCACCTGGGATTGTCACCCCACCAAAACCACTCGCACCACGCCCTCGCACCACTGATCCACCTTTACACCCTGCGCCCAGTTTCGTCGTACCCACGACCCCCGATACACCCAGTGGAGATACACCCACAATGGAGCCATCAGCTGCCCCTCGACGCTCTGTGCGTCTCGCCATGCTCGGAACTGGTGCGCCCACACCAGACACGACCACTTTGCTGACCACACTCCCTAACTCCCAGGTCCCACGAAATTACTGGGAGGCAATGACGCGCCCCGAGTTGTGGAAGCCTGCTATGGAGACCGAATGGTCCATCTTGGGGGAGAGGGGCGTGTTTGAGCTCGTAGACATGCCACCTGATGCGCATGTCATAGACTCAATGTGGGTCTACGTGAACAAGTACAATGCTGACGGTGACATTATCAAGCGCAAGGCTCGTCTGGTTGCAAAGGGCTACACCCAAATCCCAGGCCTGGATTACAACCAGACTTACGCCTCCGTTGTACGCCTGGAATCCTTCCGCATGGTCGCCGTCATCGCCGCTGCCCTTGACTTACACCTCTGGCAGGCCGACATCGTCGCCGCATACCTCTACAGCACCAACACATTCACAACTTACATGCAGCAACCCCCTGGTTTTGTCACCCAGGGGGAGGAGAACAAGGTCTTGCAGGTTGTCAAAACTCTATATGGTATGATGCAAGGCGGCCACGACTTCCAGCGCGAAATGACGAGTGCATACAAGTCCCTGGGCTACTATAAAGACCCATGCGTCCATTCCCGCCTAATCAAGGATGAACACACTATCACCAGCACGTACACCGACGATATATTTGGAGCGTCCTCAACGAAGGAAGGGGCGGAGAGGGCAAAGAAAGAAGTTGAGGCATGTTTCGAGATTAAAGATGTGGGGGATCAGGGATACATTCTGGGGATTTGAGTGGAGAAGGACAAGGAAACAGGTGTGATCTCCTTATCCCAAGAGGCTTACCTTCGGCGTATTTTAGAACGCTTCGGGATGCTACACTGCAACACCAAATCCACCCCACTGCCCTCAGGAACCATGTTATCCGAGTCCGACTGCCCCAAAACTGACGAAGACCACCATTACATGAACGACAAACCATATCGAGAGGCCCTTGGATCGTGCATGTGGGCGCAGGTCGCCACACGCCCCGACATCGCATATGCATTCAGCATCCTCGCACGCTTCCAGGCAAACCCTGGACCAGTGCATTGGAGGGCAATGCTCCACCTCCTCGCCTACATCAAAGGGACGATCAGCTATAAAATCACATACAACAGAGGAGGGGGCCTCGATCCCATCGGTTTCGTCAATGCGGATTACGCAGGGGACGTCGACACGCGCAGATCTACCTCAGGATACGTGTTCACTATGGCCGGGGGAGCTGTATCCTGGAGCGCCAAATGCCAAGCAACTGTCACGCTATCAACTACGGAGGCAGAGTACATGGCGCTCACGCGCGCCGCTCAACAAGCACTGTGGATGTACTCCTTCATGTCCGAGGTCGGACTCATGCGCAAGTTCCCCACTATGCTCCACAGCGACAACACTGCCTCTATCGCCCTCACCCTCAATACCAAGGGTCACGCACGCGCAAAACACATCGATATTCGACACCACTACATTAGAGAACCCGTAGCAGAAGGAGAGATTGGTCTCGTCCAAATCCCATCCAAGGAAAACCTCGCCAACATCTTTACAAAGCCACTTCCCCGCATTACTCATCAAAAGCTCATCCGAGCACTCAAATTGGACGTCTAGAGGTCCCTCGTCGTCTGGGGGAGTGTTAGAGGAGACCCCTCGTGACCTCAATATTTACGCTCTTTACCAGTCTTTATCCCAAGCCACCGCTTTTTTACTATATAAACCCAAACTCTATTTCTCCTCACCTCAGTCGTCATCACTTTGTGTCTGACTCTGAGTTCCATACATCTACACTCCCTCCAAGGCACACCTGGGCCAGGTTCATCCATTGATGATCCGATAGCGCTAGCGTCCAGTAATGAGAGACAATCGGCAGTGGAGAGTTCAGCAGCTTCAAAAGACCTACTTGAACAGGATTTCGAGCAATGATATGGTATGGTGCAGTCTTTACATCTTACTTAGGAGAAACTAACCTTACACGCTGCAAGTGTACTACCACATTTACGACGAGCAAGGTGAAACCGTGTCAAAAACATCCTTCGACCAGAACACTCCTTCTTTGGGTCGCGTCAACACTCTCGCTATTCCACCACCTCACACTCTGGCTTCATTGAAGAACCACCTTATCAAATCCGAAAATATCTTGGCCCCCAATGTTCAGATCTTCCAGGATGAGGACACAAGTCTCCCTTAAATGACACAGATGTCATCGCTCTTGTTTCTAATTCTTTTCTGGGGTGTACGGAGGATCAGCCGATAGCGGTAACGTACGAAGTGCAGGGTGCAGGGGTTGCAAACAATGGTAAGTAAGGATTGTCTGAAATGCTAGAGTGCCGTCGTTCTCAAGTCTTTTAATGAGTTCTAGTTAATAATGAGAACCCGAACGACAGAGAGGCGCAACTCCAGTCTGTTTTAAATCAAACAAGAGAAGAGCTACGAAAAGCCAAAGAGGAAATAGAAAGACTGAAACAGACACACGTGCGCGAGCTAGATGAAGCGCGAGGATCATCATCTCAACCCCAACCTCATTCTTTGGTGGTGAGTAAACTAAAACATAAATTGCCCTGACTCAAACGACAACGGAGTCGCAGATGGGGAAACTTCAAACGATGAGAAAACTTAGAGCAACGCAGGATTGGAGTGAGTGCCAACATTGTCCACTAAATGGAATCTTGCACCTGCTGTCGCTGACTTCTGAATGACATATAGATCTAGGGGACTGCGATAAAAGGTGGCACTCGATGAAACTGGGGGATATCTTTCACACAAATGGTGTTGAGAGGAAGGAGGAATGGAGAAACAACGGGGCTGGCAAAATCTATAGTATGCATGCGTATTCGTGGATTTGGTATATGAGTTCCAGAACACTGATATCACCTTTAATTCAAGAATTTGATTGCTATCTGGCGACGAACTCTGCTGGAAGAGTAGCTTGTAAGTGCCCCCTCATCATCGTCGTCACAAATAAGTTGCTGAAAAACTCTGTCTTTTCCAGTTGCTGTTAAAGGTAATCTCCGTCCCCTACCTTTTGGATCTTTGTCTAATTTAGATCTTTTAGTTTATACGAGTTTTTGCTGAGCATAACGATGCTGCGAACTTGTATAATCATGGAGAAACATTGACTCTAACTCATGAGCTCCACGCCCTTCAATACTGGTTGGGTGAAACGGTTCCATTACTATTTATGAAAGTAAGTGCATACGATGTGTACACCACAACTACGATCCCATGCAAGTTGCACGACAGCTTCGAAATTGAATGCTTGCCACTTCAACAACTCAGCGTTCAATATCACATCATCGCAATTTGTCCAAAATTTGTCAACATTATCAATGTCATGACAAAAAAAGGACTCCTTCAACTTCATGTATCAAAGACGTGATTTAGATAAAAAAGGAGGGAATGCGGAGAGAGGATGGAGTGGTGCTCCAACTGTGTGGCTGTGTGTAATTGCCTCAAAAGGGTTTCGGTGATGTCCGAAATGTCGGGAGCTTGTGCGGTCGTGCCTTATTATTTGCAGCATGAGAAACACGATGGCTGTTTCATTGATCTTTCCCTTGACAAGCCCACAGGATGAACACTAACGAAGAAAGGCCGTTATACAGCAAAGACGGGAGTTCATCTAGGTCAGCCTTCTCTGAAGATGGCCGAGGAGGAATTGAGCCAGTGAGTGCCATTGGAGTGCCATCCGCGTCGGGCAATATCTCGTTTTCTGAATGATTGAATAGACACCACAACTGAGAGCTGGGGTTCGTTTTGGTGCGACTTTCTCTTATCCAGTCGCACGCGCATAATTGATCTCAAGCCACAAGTGCAGTATACTACCGACTATACACCAAAGGCGGTCCACTTGAATCGATCAACCCCATCTATTCCAACGACCGCTTCATCAGCCGCATTTTGTCCACATCAGTGAGACCACCTCACACTGTTGCATCATTCAAGAGGTATCTATGCAAAATTGAAGACCTAGCTCCCGAAAACTGTACTCTGTATCAGTCACTCACGGAAAACACAGCTTTGGAGGATTCTACTCGTCTCTCCCTCCGAGGCACACCTGGGCCAGGTTCATCTGTTGATGATCCGATAGCGCTAGCGTCCAGTAATGAGAGACAATCGGCGGTGGAGAGTTCAGCAGCTTCAAAAGACCTACTTGAACAGGATTTCGAGCAACGATATGGTATGGTGCAGTCTTTACATCTTACTTAGGAGAAACTAACCTTACACGCTGCAAGTGTACTACCACATTTACGACGAGCAGGGTGAAACCGTGTCAAAAACATCCTTCGACCAGAACACTCCTTCTTTGGGTCGCGTCAACACTCTCGCTATTCCACCACCTCACACTCTGGCTTCATTGAAGAACCACCTTATCAAATCCGAAAATATCTTGGCCCCCAATGTTCAGATCTTCCAGGATGAGGACAGCGAGTCTCCCTTATATGACACAGATGTCATCGCTCTTGTTTCTAATTCTTTTCTGGGGTGTACGGAGGATCAGCCGATAGCGGTAACGTACGAAGTGCAGGGTGCAGGGGTTGCAAACAATGGTAAGTAAGGATTGTCTGAAATGCTAGAGTGCCGTCGTTCTCAAGTCTTTTAATGAGTTCTAGTTAATAATGAGAACCCGAACGACAGAGAGGCGCAACTCCAGTCTGTTTTAAATCAAACAAGAGAAGAGCTACGAAAAGCCAAAGAGGAAATAGAAAGACTGAAACAGACACACATGCGCGAGCTAGATGAAGCGCGAGGATCATCATCATCTCAACCCCAACCTCGGCCTCTAGGGGTGAGTAAACTAGAACATAAATTGCCCTGACTCAAACGACAACGGGGTCACAGACGGGGAAACTTCAAACGATGAGAAAACTTAGAGCAAAGAAGGATTGGAGTAAGTGACAACATTGTTCATTAAATGGAATTTTTGCACCTGCTGTCGCTAACTTCTGAATGACATATAGATCTAGGGGACTGCGATAAAAGGTGGCACTCGATGAAACTGGGGGATATCTTTCACACAAATGGTGTTGAGAGGAAGGAGGAATGGAGAAACAACGGGGCTGGCAAAATCTATAGTATGGCGTATTCGTGGATTTGGTATATGAGTTCCAGAACACTGATATCGCCTTTAATTCAAGAATTTGATTGCTATCTGGCGACGAACTCTGCTGGAAGAGTAGCTTGTAAGTGCCCCCTCATCGTCGTCGTCACAAATAAGTTACTCTGTCTTTTCCAGTTGCCGTTGCAGGTATGCTCCGTCTCCTACCTTCTGGGTCTTTGTCTAATTTATATCTCTTAGTTTATACGGCCTTTTGCTGATGCATAACGGCGCTGCGAACTTGTGTACTCAGGGAGAATCGTTGACTCTTTTTCCCGATTTCCACATCCTTCTGGTTGGGCGAAATAGTTCCATTATGTATTTATATACATAAGTACGATATATAAAACTTCACAATTTGCAGGACAGCTAGGAAGATGGAATGCTTGCCACTTCAACAACTCAGTGCGATCTCATATGTGTATCATAGTGACTAACGTTCAGACCCACAAATCAGATCATAATTCCCAGTTTACAAAAAATAGGCATAGAAAAAACTCGTTCAATTTCGTGTATACAAGTCGTGATTAGTTTGAGTGAGTTACATGAACAATGTAGGAATGATGAGAATGGGATGGAAGTGGGGATGTTGAATCACTCAGTTTGGTGAATGCTGCTCTCCTTCTCGTCAGGGCCTCTGGATACAAAATCATTTCCGGGATATC